TTTTTCTAATCATGTTAAGGAATATTCAAAATGTGTTAATACCATAATAAACAATGATGTTTCAACTAAAAACTTGCATCAAAACATATGGCAAAAGTTGATGTTTTGATGGAAAATTCATATGATGAAAATAAGGTAAAAAATGTACAAAAACCTCATTTTCAACCATTTTCTGACTTCAGTATCAAAAAAGAATGATTACCAATGATGCTAAAAATCGGTAATTGATACTTTTAAACACTTTCAAGTATTCTTCATCAGTAAAAATTAACAAAACGCCAATATTTGCTAGTTTAGACTTATGTTTTTTTCCAATTCTGACGTAGAACACTCCATATTTACACTTACACCACGCTCCCTAAAAGGCGTCTCATGTTAGCACGTACCATAATTTAAATTTAGTTTATCATTGTAGTGTCATGATCACGACAAAACATTTTTAATTACACTATCTGTCACTTTTTTAATGCTCACTGACTCATGTCGAAGTGCCATTTGAAGTCCAAATGTATTCTCGAGACTTAATAACAGTAATCTGACAATTAACACAATAAATCTTGTTAATTAACTTTATATTTATGTCATATGAAGTTGGAAAGATGTCTTGTCTCTTGAAGTAGTCCATCAACTGACAGGTGCTTCAATTTCCATCGCTATCAATTTTCTATGTTCACAATTTTTTGATATCTTTTAACAAATAAACATAAATCATGCGTGATGCTATCAGAAACCAAACAAAAGAAAACGTCGGGTGGAAAGTTCAGTGTAACGAAGGAATGTCCCGAATTCGATTTTCATGTAATTTAGGATTCTTTTCAGTCAATTCAAATTCGTTTACTTTCCGAAACAAACAAAAAATGTGCAAAAAAAGTAAATATTGTCTAATATTCAGATATTCAAGCTGAAGCTAAATGGAAATTCAAGCTCCTGTTGATCGAAAATCAAAAGCCGCTCAATTTCCCACCCGCTACTTTACAAGGTTCAACTAGTAATGAAGTTAATATGAATACGACAACTGCTTCCCGCATTCTCGATTCGCGATTCACGTAAACAATAAATAAATATTTTATTCCTTTTATTTTGGCATTGATCAAACATATTGAGAAGCATTATGATGTTATAAAATAGGTCATCAAAAGCATAACGTAGTAGTTTTCTGTTCTTTTAATGTTCTGTCTTTTCATGCTGTATTAGCTTGATCAATGGGGAACGTTTTACTCGAAACAAAAGAAAAGCGAAAAAAAAAATTTTTGCCGAAAAGCTTGCGTCGCTTTCACCAAAAAAGGGAAAACTTTTATTTTGTTATCGCAGACTTCTTCTGAAAGCGCATTGAAGCGGTTGAGTTTCTGAGTTCTAACTTAACGCCATTAAATTTGTGTAATAACATAAAACATTCAGAGTAGTTTTGTGTAGCATACAATACAAGTGATAAAAATCAAATTATTTTCCCCTTTGCAGAGCTAATTCAAACGTGTAAAGACTTTATTGTTTTTATTATTCAGTGAAGGCATAAAAGTGGCTCATTTTGGATAATCATTGAGGCTCAACTAGCTTCATGCTTGGATTATTGTTATAAAAGAGAATTTCCTTAGTATCTGTGGGAATTTTGAACAGCGAGGATACATTTGTGACCAGTGGAAAACATTTCTGAATAAATAAAAATACTTCTGACATTATTAACATTTGATTAAAAATTTAATCAAATTGATTTTTCCATTAAGTGACTCACGACATTTATCAAACATTAATCTAATTAAAGATTCTGAAAGAGATTCAAAGCTTTTACGTTTGCTTCAAGATTTTCTTCTGAAAATAAATTTCTTCTGATTGATTAATTAATAAATTCTGAAAAGTACAAAATATATAAAAATGGATCCAACAACGGTAAGCGACTATTTTGGCATGATTTTCAAAATTTAAAGCAATTCGATTAAAATTTATTAGCAATTGAGCTTCCTTGCGTCATTACGCGATAACGAAGCTTTTCAAAAGGTTTTTCTAATACGAAACCTTGAACACAAAAATACTTTATTTAGATAGTTTATGTTCATAGTTAATGGTTCTTGAATAATCAACCATTTCGTTATTTGTAAATAAATTCCTGATGCTTCCAAATCACGCAGTTCAGATAGGAAAATCGAATCCAAACAAAAACCAACAAGAAAACTTTCTGCACAAAATTTAATTTTTTGATTTCGCTTTTCACCCCTCAACTAAAATAATTATGTCGAAGTAACGAATTTCGATTTTTGCTTTCATCCAACCAATAAAAACATAAAAAATTCAAGCAGGCACGATCTCAGCTTGAGTCAGGATTTCCAAAAAATCAATCAAATCCAATACCACAAAACATTCAGCCACAAAATATTCGTCACCAAAACGCATCAAATATTAATAGTCGACCTATCGAACGAAACGTTCAGCAAGCCCCTAATTACCAGACACAACCAGCACCGCCTTCTCAACAAGCTTTTCAACAACAACAACAACAAGCTGCTTATCGATTGCCGTCTGCTGGCCAAACAAACTTCCAGCAAAATCCCCAGCAAGGGCAGCCTGTCATTAGGCCACCAGTAAATGCTGGTGTTCGTCAACCAATTAACCCCAATCAACAACAACCACCAATTCGGAATATTCCACCTAATATTAACCAGCAGATACGACAACCGATAAATCAAAATCAACAGCCTCAGTTTAGGCAACCACAACCCCAACAACAACAGCAACTCCATCAACAACAATTTCAAAGACCACCGAATTTTCCCCCTAATCAGGGGTTGGGAGATAATCAACAGTTCCGTCCTCAACAACAGCCGACTAATTTACAAAAGCAAGCGATTCCAGATCAGAAATTTATTAGGAATCCTCCACCCACACAAAATCCGAGTATGATGTCAGAGAAAATTCGTGAAAGAACTTTTACAACAAGCAACGAACATTCGATGGACGATGACGATGATGTGGTTGTTGGTCGCGGGGTAACACCACAAACCAAGCCCTTAGTGAATTCGAAGCCATCTGAAAATTACGATGTGCAACAGCAGCAAGCACAGCGTCAGATGAGTGTTGCAAAAGAAAACATTTCACCAGCTGTGGCTCCACAAAGGCCCCAACAACCTCCAACGGCACAACGAAGAGAAAGCGTTCAATCAATTCCATCGCGCCCACCATCGGGTATGGGTTCAAATAACTCACAATCACCCGAGCCTCGGGCAAATTTAAATCAACTTAATACTCAATCGCAGTCACATCATCAACAACAACAGCAACAGCAAAATATTAATCGATTACCACAGCAAAGTGAACATAATCGACAAAGTAATTACGATCACGCACGTGAATCGAAAGATATTAATGACAGAGGTGAAAAAGTTCAAAAGCCGATGACACAAATGCAGCAACAACAGCGTTCATCAGTTGAGGAAACAAGTCAAAAGCAGCCGATAAAACAGAATCAACCGATGGCTCCTCAACCACAATTTCGGCAGGCGCAACCACGCGACATAAACTTACAAAATGATTCTCAAGCTAAACCTTATCAAAAGCAACCAAATGAACACATTACACAACAACAACAACAACAACAGCCAGATCATAAACAAAATCCGATTAAGATGCAAACTGATCAGAAGAGGGAACCGGTAGATATTCAGAATCGAAAGAACTCGGTTAAACTTGACTTAAGCAAGTCCGAGAATATCAAATCATCATTGAAAGATAAATCACCAAGTAAGAAAAAAGATCCAGGGATGTTAATTGAGAATAAATTCACAAATAAAATATCAGGAAGTGGTTGAGATTAAATTTGAAATTTTAAGCTCAATTAATCAAAACCAAATGCTAACAACCACTTTCTGAACTTCTCTGAGATCTCTGAAATATTTTAGATAAAAATATCACTAATTAATAATAGATAATTAGCTCGTGGCGAAGTTTAGGTAAAAAACCAGCTTCCAGTTGATGTTTTGAAACCTAAGCTGAAAGACGCATTTAAATTCAAATCATTATTGAACTCGATTTTATGTAAAATCTTCTGATAAAACAGAACATCTTCTTTGTGAAATCAAAAATTCATTAAAAAGTGTACAGAAAATCATCATACATCAATAATATTATATCAAAGCACTCATTTATCTTATCTCTAAAAATAGATTGCAAATTAACTTTTTCGTTCTTCTAGAAGGTGATAACGATAGCGGCGTTGACGAGAATTTCCATGAGAAGGTGAGAGATGAATTTAAAATACTTGACAACGAGTAATAAATATTTCAGAAGCTTATAAGATCATCATCAACAAACTTTACATATTTAGTCATTTTATATCAACTCAGCAAGTAATTTGATGCTTGAGTTGAGTTTTTCTCTCTTTTTCGTTACTTAATGACGTCGCTTATAAAGTGACGGGTGTGGCACGCCGCAAGCTTCTTTTGTTTTTACTTCAAGATAATCTCAAGACCACCTAACTTCACAACGAGCTCCAAAACAAAAAATAATAATAATAATAATCAGCAGAAAAATTCATTTATTGACAAACATTTATTTTTGTCGTTAGTTTATTTAAGTTTATTGATCACAAAAGACGTAAATATTTCTTTCCGCGTTCGGAGAATTGTGAACGAGTTTTAAATGAGAGAATCTCGTAAACTGAAAGCTAATAAAGAGTTGCAAAAAGAAGTAAAGTTAATGTTGAAAGAGTATTTTGAGCTTGTGATGTTATAAGCTAGTGTTGATAAGTGTTTAATGAAGGTTTATCTCGCGTCTTAGGAGAAAAATGGACATTCACCAATTTCACCTTTAAAGTCACCGTCAAAGATTCCAAGCTATCAACCACGTCCAGCAAGTATTACACCCAAGACAAGATCTAGAAGCACATCTAAGCAACGACTGTCGCTCAGAATCAGTCCCGAAACCGAACAGCCCGAACCTCTTATCAAAAGTAACTATGCAAATATTTATACAGCTTATCGTGAAAAAGATACAAAGTGACTTTGTTATTATTTCTTATCAGAAATTCCAATGAATAAGATTGAAGTAGGTAACGCACCTTCTCCTAATCTGAAGAAGGTTCAATCAAAAATCGGATCATTGCAAAATGCAACTCACAAACCAGGCAAGATTTGATTGTTTCCAAAATTTATTTCAATTTATGTCACGTTCAATTAAATATTTTTGTAATTTCCTTTCATCATAGGTGGAGGCAACGTAAAAATTGAATCAAAGAAGTTGGAAATCAAAGCAGCACCTAGAATCGAAGCGAAGAACGACGCATATGTTCCACGAGGTGGTGACAAGAAGGTAAGACAAGAATTGCTGTCACGATTATTCAATAGAGTCTTAGAGTTGCTTGACATTAGTTGTTCGGTTCGACAGAAATAACCTTGAAATTGATTGATTAAAGTTGAGTGATATATGAGAAACAATCGATCGTAAATTTTCATGTGTATCATCGAGTTATGCATCGGTGAACATTTCATAGATTTATTATGAGAGATCACGAAAAAGGCATGTCACGAAGAGATTCATGTCAATTTGACGGTAGTTGAGCAATAAATTTGTTTAGTGAGAGTGAAGACGATTTCCATTTAAATCGATATAAATATTAAAGAAAAGTCGTACAAAAATAAGAAATTCTTCTTCATAAAACTAACTTAAAGTATTTATTTGAATATCTCAACTGACCTTGAACGATACAAATGCATGGCTAGTTAATAATACATTCAGAAAGTCACTCTTCAAACATCTTCAACAAGCCAATATCGCGTCACAGACGAAGTGAAGATTTAGACATTAATGATGATTTCATAGCAAGCATATTAAATGAACAGAAGAAACTTTCGTCATTTTGAACAATTCTCGTGAATTTCATATCAATAAATAAGTAAAATGTCACTCCCACATGGTTATTTCGATGTTTTCAGAGAAAGTTTTTCCGAAACATTGATTTTAAAAGGGCACATATTGAAATTGATTTATTTTAAATCCTCTCTCAAATACAGATTTTAAGTCAGAAGCTTCAATGGAATGCTAAATCGAAGATTGGTTCATTGGAAAATGCAAGTCACAAGCCTGGTAATTTATAGTTTGACATAACAAATTGATTTCAATTTAATTTATGTTGCTTCTTCTTAGGTGGTGGTGATAAAAGAATACTTGAAGTTAAAACAGATTTCAAAGAGAAAGCAAAACCAAAAGTGGGATCAAAAGACAACATGACTTATCAACCTGGTTAGTTAAACTTTCTTCCTCTCATTATTGACTTTAATATTTGACATAACTTTTCTTTTCTTTCAAATTTCTCAGGTGGGGGTGATGTTAAGGTATGTAGAATATCGAAATAATTTTCATTCTTAAGTTCAGATAGGAACTTGTGACATTGCATAGTTAACGCTATCGAATACTTGGCTATGGCTTGATTAGCATGAAAACGAAACATAATGAATAATTTATTTGTACATTGATTTCTAAGAAGTAATCATAGTCAAGCTCAAGCTTTATAACTTTTACTAACAGCATGTAAGCTATTTTAAAGCTGGAAATGTCCTTGCTTCTAATACTTAGTAGAAGATATTAAAAACTTTTAATTTTCACATATTTTTTATTGAATTCCAAAAAACAAACAAACTTATAATGCTATAATTTAAGGCACGTGAAGAGCGACCTAAACCAGCTGTAAGTAATTTTCCGAGTAGAAAATGAAATCAAACAAACACAAGAAAAACGGAAGAAGTTTAATTGATGCACAAAAAGCAAATATTTGGATTTATTATAGAAAATTAAAATTTTTGCACTTGTTTTGAAGCTTTTTTACAAATAGTAATGAAATTGCAAGTTTTTGTTCACATGAATGTTTTGAATTCACTCAAATTTTCTTCCATTTTCGAATTTGAAGTCAATTGGATTCTAATATTTGAAAAAATTCGCAGATAATCAGTCAGAAGTTGGAAGTCAAAGGCGAATCAAAAATTGGATCTTTGGATAACGTTAAGCATAGACCAGGTGGTGGAGACAAGAAAATTTTTGACGATAAGGAATATTTGAAGAATGTTGATCATCCGGTTCCGATTTCGCCACCCACGCAGGTGAACAATGAATAAATTTTTTCTCAATTTTCGATACTTTTACACGCTAAAAAGCTTTTATAAAATTTGAAGCTTTCACTAAAACAATTCACAATCTCTCTGTAGACTCTCAGTTTATTGAAGTTAACTTTTTTATTTCATTTCATTTTCTTTTTGATAGGAATATATTTACAAATTTTATTGAAACTTTCTTTAAAATCTGTTGAGTTTGTAAGTTTATTGTTTGTTCTTTTCCATTCTTATCGTGATAAGTTTAACTTGATTTTGAGTTTTTTTTTTTTATTTTTTCTAACAATTCTTTTCACGTTTCATTTCTTAATCTTTTACTTTTTCTCTTTTCGATTTTCTAGAATAATTTAGCTTAGAAATAAAATTTCATACAATCTTAATCCACAGACCTCACTTCAATCTGGCGATCCATCCACTGATAACTTAGCTGATAAAGATTTAGTTCATTTTTAAGTAAATCAGTAAAAATTTGATTTTTATTTTACTTTTTGCAAATCAAAATTTTCTCAATTTGTTGGCTTGAAAATAAAAACAATTTTGATAGTGAAGTCATGTGCTATTTAATCAAATGACAAAAACAAAAGAGATAAAAACAAACCTTGCATAATCTTTAAACTTTGAATTAAATATTATATGCACATAAGTAAGAGGGAAACATTTACTGCTATAATCAAGACATGGAGAATTATTAAAAAATGATTAAAAATGAATTTCAAAAAAAAATTGCATGAATGAAACGTAAATTTGTATTAATTGAAGGATAAGGAAAAAATATTCGAAATAGGTTTTTGAATCGGTGAATAGCGAATTAACGTAAAGCATTCCATTAAGAGGCGCGAACGAACGAAAGATGATTTTTACAAATGAACAATTGAATGTTGCAAACACTTGGATTTATGATAGATAATATTTAACATAAAACATGAAAAATAATCGAAAATAGATATTCGAATCATGAAACAAACTTTATAGGCAAACATTTAATTTAAAATGAACTTCTTTCCAATTGCAATTTTTGATTCAATAATTGATTAAAATTTTATTCGTGTGGTTTTGAAGAAAAAAGTTTCAAATTTTATTAAATTCTCCACTTAAGTGAATTCAAAACTTAAAACACCGAAACACTTTTGCAATGAAAACATATAAAATATTAAATGGAGTAAATTCAAAGAAGATTGTTAGGTTTCATGTATTATGATTGCTTATCAAATAATTGTTATTGAGTGTGTTGATAATTTTCTCTTTTATTTTATAAATGAAATCATTGATTTCACACAGATCCAAATCAGTGTTCGTTATTTTTTTAAAGAAAACTTTTATTATTGTTTTCGTTTTTGCTGATTGTATTAAAAATGATAAGAATATTCATTCTTCACACAAAAAGAAATAAAAATAAACAAGAAGGAAAATTTCTATAAACTTGAATGTCACACAAATAAAAAGTAAAGTTGAAGAGACCAAAATGAGTAGTTTTTGTTTTAGTTTTTAAGAACGTTGATTTATTGTAGAATTTTGCAGTATTTTTGAAGACATTAAAAGGCTCAACTCTTGATAGTGTCACGAAGTATCATTTTTGTGGTTCGTTTTCTTAGTTTAATGTCAAATCAGAAGCTTTTTTTTTCAGTCATGCATAGAAACCTCCGAAGCTCACACAAAAAAAAAGGCTTTTAAGTGAATTGAATTCGCCTTAAACACGCTACTGTAGAGATAGAGAAGTCTCATAGTTCTTTAAAATATGCGCCAAATAAAAACTTCTCACTTGTGCATGAAATGAGATACTTCAAAATAGCGTAATTTAAGTAAAAGCCCTTACAAGGGTAAAATTAACTAAATGAAGTAATTTTTTACACGCTGCTTCAACCCATTGTCACGTAAGTGAAGTGAACAAGTAAACTTGAATATCTAATTAAATATTTTGGAGTAGTTTTTGTTTCTTGTCTTTAAATTAAATTTTTCTTTGGATTTTTCCCTCCTTGTCATGACTTTTTTTTTAGATGTTTTCAAGTGGATACTACTCGAAAAGCGTTGGGTGGCGATCAAAGCCATACACGTTATCGACTAGTTTATCATTGCCTTCCGAATGCATCATCATGAGTGTTTGTTCACCAGCTAAGAAAAAGAGAATAATCGCCTATTCTGGCAAAGCATTCCATCCTGTCCCCTTCCGATGTTTTTAAATCAAATCCACTTCAAATGTTAAATGATAAAATGTATTCAATGTCAATGACTTTAAATATTCTCTTTCAGATGATTACAAGACGCTTTGTCCGCATGAAAATTCAAACCAAGAAGAAATTTCGTTCTTTTAAATGACATTGTTTGTGGCAGTTTGAAAAGTTTTAATGAACAAAAGTATCCACGTCGCATGAATTATGTTGAACAGCTTTTTCGTTATGGAAAGAAAAAAGTTGAAATCAGCAAACATTCCATTGCGACCAATAAAATGAAACAAATATTTTAAACTTTTCCCGACGAAAAGTTTTCATTTATTGAATCAGCTTGATGAAAAATATTCAAAAAGAAAGAAAATGAAAAACAACAAAGAAGAAAAATTCCATGAAAAATGTCGAGGAACTTTGAATGTTTTTCACGAAATTATTTCCAAATCGCAAATTAGTGGAATTTGCTTTTGATGAATGGAAAAGTTGATGGAATTTCTTGAAATTGCTCGTTAGTTGTAAATTTGATAGAATTAACTTCAAAACTTTTTTTAGTTAAAATCAATTGTTTTATTTTCATTTTTCACAATAAACATTAGCTGTTAGTATCATTAGAAAAAAAGCATTGAATAAAAAAAAATGAGATTGTAACAGATTGTAAATGCAGTAAAAATTAGATTCCATTAATTCATAAACAGCTTTACATCGAAATGAGAAAGCTTTCTTATTTGTCAGTTCATGATATTTTATTTTTGTCTTATCTAAATCAAAAATCAGCATTTTTCATCTGAACAAACATCAAATCGCAAATTATTTTCATTACTGAATTTATAATTTCTTCAAAAAGAGATTCGTTGATAATTTCTATAAAATTTTCAGACTCTGAGAAAACTTTTACGGCTTCATAATGTTAGATAAAATGCTTTTGAGAATAGAAAAAAAAAATGAATCTATAATAAAGTTTAGCAATATTTAATTAAAAACAAATAATTCTTTAATATTTTTTGAGCCTTTTGTTACAAGTTTCATGTGAGTTTTTAATGAATTGCGTAATTTTCTTTAACTAGATAAATGGTCATGGCTCATAAGTTTCACGAAAATAAATTAATTGAAAAGAACCTTCTTTGCTTATGTTTCTAAATATGGCCATTGACGATATGCGAAGTTTTGAAGCTTTTATTTTAAAGAAAGAGAGAAAATTTAAAGAATTGGGAAGAATTCAATATTCATGTTACTCAATATCAAAGACTTCATGAATCTCATTCCCATTAAAAAGAAAGGTAAGGTAATAAATTATAATTAATATTTGATCATTGTTGATAATCATGAAAATATTGGAGATAACAAAAGAAAGATTTTTGATTGATTTTATGGCATCAAAGTGAGAAATTTGTCCAATCGCCAGTGACTCTCAAACTTCTTCCACAGACTTTTAAGGAAATTTTCATTAAAAACTTGACTTAAGCGATCGAAGATTTTTCAAAAATTTTGATCACATCTGCAAATGTTTCATTTAACGTAGTTTGAGAATCACTGTCACAGATTCTTTTGATATATTTTAAGGATACAACGACTTATAATCTATAAGTCACAATTGGAGTAAATTAGAAGTGATGTAAACGTAAGCTAGACAAACATCACACATATTGGTATGATTTTAAATAAGGTTCTGTTGCTAACTTCAAATTGAGTCAATTATTAAAAAAATGTCACAAAAAAAAGTTTTGGTGAATGCTTCAACTGTTTTTCCTGCTAGTTCTTGATGATGAGTATTACGATGAAAATATAAATGTCTACATTACAATGCATTTTCTTTGGCGCCTTTTAATTGGCTCTGGTCGCAGAACTGCTCGAACTGCTTCATCAAATACTTGCTTCAGTCCTCTCTAAAAATAAAAAAGAAAAATTTAAAAACAATTGCAAGGAATTGCGAAATTCTGTCATACTTGAGTCAAAGCCGAGCATTCCATGTATTTGACAGCTCTTATCTTATTTGCTAACTTTTGCCCTTGTTCTACAATTTAGGAAAATATTCAAATTAAATTTCCATGAATAGAATTTTCAACAATTTTCACCTCTTTTACAAGGACTCAATCCTTGTTCTGCTAATGCACTTAATGTTTCTCTATCATCTCTTAAATCTATTTTGGTACCAACGAGTATAATTGGAGCTTCAGGGCAGTGATGCTTCAGTTCTGGATACCATTTTGATGTAACATTTTCGAATGAGGAAGGGCTGCAAATGAAATCAAAGAAACCATAAGACGTCAAAAGTCAAATATTTCTTCTTTTATCTCAAAAATGTTCTAAATTTATCCTCAGTTTTTTTGTAAGATGCGTGCGGTTATGATATTCAATTACACACATAGGAGAAAAGAAACAAAAAATGTTATTCACCTTGCAACACTGAAACAAATGAGGAAAACGTCTGTTTGTGGATAACTAAGTGGTCTGAGTCTATCGTAGTCTTCTTGGCCGGCAGTATCTGTTGACAGATTTATTCAAAGTAAAATAAATATTTCTTTGTTTTCGAAAATGAGTCATAGTTGATTTAAAATTAGGAAATTCTTTCATACCCCAAAGTCCTACTGAAACTTGAACACCGTCAACGACCATAGGTGCGGAATAATTGTCGAAAACCTATGAATTTATAAGTCATTAGATAGAAATGATGATATTAATGTTTAATAAAACTTACTGTTGGCACGTATTCACTTGGAAAACTGTCAGTTGTCAATGATATTAGCATACATGTTTTTCCGACTAAAAATAAAATCAACAATGTTTGTAACGCTTATTAAGCTGTTAATTCGATATTTCATGCAATTGCTTAACCTGTTCCATCGCCCACGACCACACATTTTATTGGCCTACCAGACATTTTAGGTAGTTTTTGTTAATTTTCTAGACAAAAATTAAAATATCTTAAAAAAATATTTTTTTTAGGGATTCGCCTTTATTTGTGTCTAATAGTTCCCGAACTATACACTCTCTACCTAAAACTCGCCTCCCCAAAGTTAGTTTCAGGTGAAGAGTGTAATATATCATGCACGGAGAAAAATCGCACGCACGGAAAAAACAAAAACCTACTTTGTATGAAAATCATGCATGCCGCCCGGCGGCGGCCGTTGAGTTTGTTTTGTGAGACTGTTCAGAAAAACACGAATTTGTTTGAATCAATTGGAAACTAACTTTCAAGGACTAATGAACAGAACTAAATATTATTTAAAAATAACCGTTAAATTATGAATCAAAGTCAACTTTCTCTGTTTTTACTAATTCTAATGAAAGTTCATGCATGTACATATATGGATACTCCAACACTTGTCAGGAATGTCGTGGAAAGACTTCACCTGTGAAGACAAATTTTACTCTGACACTTTTTTCTGAACAAGAGAGAGGTGTGAGCATCAAATCGACTCCAATCAATTTCATGGTTACAAAACAATTTAATTTTTCTTCTTTTTACAGCCTCTATCGATAATCAACTTTTCTTGACTTGAGAAAAATTCCTGCATATTTATGTAAGATGGTGAAACATTCTGAATATTGATGTTAAAGAAGCATTTACAACAGCATAATAAGTAAGAAATTTAAATTTTCATATCTTGTATGAAATCTATTTAGGACTTTCATTATAATTTTCAAAGAAGGGCTTTAAAGCACAAATCAAAACTTGATATAAAATTATTTTTGTCAAAGAAATTCTCAAGCTTTTTAATTCACAACAAAATGCCATAAATCTCTCCGATGTTATATAAGTCAGTTTCATTTGTTGAATGCTTTTAAAAGAAATCATAAAATATCATTTGAAATAGAATGCAATGAAGAAAAGCACGTTCATGATTGAAAATTCTTTCATTGAAAGTTCATTCAGTCAGAATTAATTGATCATTTTTTTCCTTTAAGAACTGCGATATCAGACGTTTGAAATAAATTATTTTATTGCTACTTAGTCGATGAAAATCTTGTGAAATCGCTTTATGTTTTTATGGAAAATATTTCCCAAATATTTACGACTTCCTTCTCCCTCAATTTACGACTTAATGACATTAGAAAATAATGAAATGAATTTATAATCTTCAATCGATGTAACATCTCTCGACAGTCAAATCCACACCCTTCAAATTATGATTGTTATGCAAATCTGTAATAGGATTTTCATTCATTTAAGTGAGTTACAAGTTCATCGTTTACTTCTCTTTCTCTTGCAATACGCAAGGAAAAATATTGGGAATAAAAAATGAATTTAAATCACAGAGGAATGCTTCGGAAAATATTTTATTCGATTGAGCGGAAAAGTTTTCTGTTTCTCTAGCCCCTCCTCACCCCGTATTATCCTCAAAAAATATTTAAGTGTTGTTAAAGTGAACAGGAATTGTAATCTTAAGTCAGTGGAAGCAAATTGTTTCCATAGATCCCAGAGATGATTTCCTTGAAGCAGTTTGTCGAGTGTTCGAAATGAAATTGATATACCGTAAACATTTCCGCTTCACTTCGAGTGTCGTCGTTTTTGATACACTTTGTCGAGTAAATTATGAAGTGATATGTTTCTTCTTCGAACGGATTTTTGAGGGTTGAATTGTCACAAATTAATAGAGACATTTTACCTACATATATCTCACTTTGAAATCTCATCATTACACGTTTATTAAGCTGTGATAAAATAGGATTTTGTTGGTAAATCTTATCAGCATCATTGCTTTAACGCATTACAAATTTAACACATGAGTAATTAAATACGTACATCCTACAAGCATATACTCTTGTAATTAATAAACAAATTTTCAAGCATTTCCTTTGACATCAGAATAAAAAGAGAGAAAAAAAATTAAGAAGAAAATGTGTTAAATAATGCTTATAAGAGTGTGAGACATAAATAATTATTTTTGTAATTTCATCCAAATTTAAAGCATGAAAAAGAAGTAATTTTCAACATCTTTCGCAGATATCTAATTACCTAGGTTTCACGAGTCCTTTGTTAAAACCCTCGGAGCTAGAAAATCTTGGATTCTTATTTTATTCTTTTAAAATGATTCTTATGAACTTTGGAAAAAGCAAATGTAGGATCAATATGTCAGTGATTGTTATAATAAAGAAATGAGATGAATGAACGAATATCTGCTACAACATTGAAGAAACCTGAAAGGAAACCATCCCTATGTTAAGAAATCACTTGAACTTATAAAGAAAAGAAAAATTGAGAAATTTATGAAAATAAAAACTCATCTTGTGCTTAATGAAGTTTGTACATTTCGTTTTTAAGGCAAAAGATCAAAGTGAAGATTTATGAAGTCTTAGAAATTGAAAAGGAGATTTATTAATTTACCTGTTACCATTTCATGTGTACATTATACGCATCAAATTAACTTGACTTGTACATTATCTTTCACATAACTTCCCCTCCAGCTTCGCTTCTTCTTATCTCTTCATATATTTATTTTTTAAAATTAAAATTAAATATTCCAAGAAGTGCTTCATTTTAAATGCGCCCTTTTAAAGATTCACTCAATTAAATGTTCTTTTCAAGAAGGAAAAAAATTATAAATGACAGCGATTTAATGAAATCAATTATGAAAATTTCTTCAACATGAAAATGAAAATTTCTTTTTATGATCATCGTGACATTTTTTTTTTGTTTTAAATAATGACTTTGCAAAATGTTTGAAAAGTTATTTGGTTTTTACACTCGATTAGATATAATTTTTTCAATGAATGGTTTTGAGAACAAAGTCAAAGTCTTAAGCGGTACATACGTAGGAGGATTTTAATATTCTTAGAAGTCAATCAATTTCTTCAACTTTTAAATTAACTTAATAAACCATCGCAAACAAGTGGGAGATTTTTGAATCTTCAGAATGAAATTCAGGTCGTGTCTCTCGTTCCATGGAGCAAACAGTAGCCAAAGAAAATTAAATCATTTCTCGTCCCCACACTGAACAACGAAGTAAACGATAAACCATGCTAATCTACCTAACCAGAGAAGAAAAAAACTTTCTCAAACTGAATATTAAATTTTCTTAATGTCATCTCGTATTTTCCCATTTCTTCTTTTTCGCGTTTCTGGATCGCGGAGGGATGAGAAGAAAAAGTTTAAGAAATATGAGTGATAGAAAGATTTCTTCTTTTTTTCTATTTTCATCAAAATGTCACTTATAAAATTTAAAATGAAGTGTACGATTAAGAAGCTGCGAAACATCAGAAGCATTGTGAGCCTCAATAAACTTTTTCTTGAATCTCTTCATGAAGTGTTAGAAGTTTTCTTTCTTTTTAAAATGACTTCTTTATTATTCAAATAAATGCGTAGGTGAAGCACGTTTTCTTTATTAAAGAATGGTTGCCTTATCATTTACGTTTCCTGTGAAATTGATTTCTTCCTTCTCTGTTAAATTGTATGAGAGCTTAGAAGTCATTGTGAAATACAGAAGAAAGTAAAAATTGCGGGGGATTCACGATGTATCTACGCAAAAAATATTTCTTCGTGGAAATAAAATTTATTGCAAAAGAAAATGTTTTAAATTTGTGGCCTAATTCTTTTGCATTAGAACTTGAAAATTTTTACTGCCACTCTTCAATACAGAAACTTGCCAATTCTCAGCAATTATAAAAAAGAATAAATTTTAAATCTTCCGCTCTTTTATTGTTACAATTCATTCTTTTATTCTATTTCTCTGAAATTGATGAAGAAGATTCAAAAGCGATTTAATTTGAAAATGGAAGAAAACAAATTAGGTTGAAATTGAGTGAAAATCTTTTTTCCTTTTACGATAGCATCTTTAAAGAAATGAAAACCATAATTACTTGGAGATGATGGAAAAGTTGTATAATGAAGATGGTTTGAAATAAAGTTGTAGCATCTAATTTGCTGTCTCGTCTCTTTGTTTGTGAGTTTTAATGTAACTCACTGATTAGCTCACCAAGGAGACACCCAAAGCACTTTCTAGCGATTTAAGTTATCAAATTTCAATCCTTTCCTTCCAAATAGACTTTTGTGATGATACCCTTCACTTTTACCTTTAACGTTTCCCCTTTATCTTGTTTTCAAGATTAATCAGAAATTCTTCAAATTAGATTAAAAAGGTGAAAGAAATCTTCAGTTAAAATAAATGCCTATGGAAAATAGGAAATAAAATAATGTTAATTAAATAATCAAATACGGTAAGTTAACATCAATTTCCCCTTCTACTCACTAAGCATAAGTCTGAAATCGCAAATAAATAACTTCTCTTGATGTTTCGTCCAAAATTCTGTAAGTAATTGTGGGAAAAATATCAACGACTCTTTATTTTAATGCCATACCGAAAAAAGAAAGATAAAATTATATGGCCCACGCATTTTCATGAGGGTTGAGAAAATGTTACAAAGGTTGAGTTGTGCAACACATGTTTTTATTTCGTAATAAAAAGGTTGCTAAAAAGACACATTCGGAGTGAGTTGGAAACCAGTGGAGAAATAAACGAAACTATAACAATCATGTAGCCATCATATGTCAGAGTCTTATCGTAATTTATTCAAACGAACTTCATATGGTTTGTCGTTTGTCTACTCTCTGGCGAGAGCTTTTCATTCAATAAAAATTCTCCACAGCTTGATAATTTATTCAATGCGTTCATCGAGGGCTTTTCTTTTCTGTCTTTATATGTGACTGGGAATGGAAAAAAAGAGAAGAAAGCAACAGAAAAACTACACGAAGCAATTTATTTTCATTATGTTTTATTTCATGTTTTTTCATTACATGATTATTTCCTCCCGCAGAAGAAAAGCAACAAAAAACTGTTTCTGTTGTTATAGAAAATAAGGATTTCACTTTGTAGGGAAATGACACTTGTTGACTATCCCAGATTATAATTCTTGGTGAATAAAAGCATTGTGTATACTGTTGATGTCTTTCAATGTTTTCTTTGCAAGCATATTTCATACTTTTCATTCCCATCATAATGCAAGAAGCATCAAACAATTTTTATGGCAAAATTTTAATCTCTCGAGATTCTTTTAAACATTTCCCATTCACCTTAGACATATTCTTGAGGATAATCAACAAGTGGGTGTTCCATCTTATGTATAAATTCTCACATATTTTAAATTGTTTGAAAGATGCTTCATATGCATGTAATACATGAATCTTATAAGATTTAAATTTTAATTCGATTATAGTGTAGTGAGGTTTCGTTTTGGCAAGTGAATACTTAGAATATTTTCATATTTCTCACGATGTCACAACCTTTTTCTTTCGACCTGGTTTCTGCTTTGGAATATCGTCCCAGACAAACTTCAGCTTGCTGTCTTTCAATTTTTTCTCATGAATCTTAATGTGTTTTTTCAGGTGATCACTTCTAGAGAAGGTCTTTGAACAGTAAAAGCACTTGTATGGTTTGATTCCTGCAATTCCATTGAAACATATTTAATGACGTTTAGAGATTCCAAAATTAAAAGAATTAGAATTTAATGAGTTTGCTGGAAATTATTTAGATGTTTGAGGAAATAAATCTTAAATATAATTCCTTCCAATTTCATTTCAACGGTAAAATAAACTTCAGAAAATCCCTGAAATTCACGAGATGAAATTTTCCAATCATAAATCACTCACCTGAATGAGATCTTTGATGTCGAGCTATTCAAAAAACGAAACACCAAGAAAGAATGTAAACTGTTGTCAAGGTTGAATACTTAGGATAAATGAAAGTAATTTCTTACCAAGTTCATCGGAACGTGAAAATTTCCATGAACAATTTGGAAAATTACAAAAGTAAGGTTTGAGCCCTAAATGCCTCCTTAAATGAGCTCGAAGATGTGCTGGCTTTGAATAAGTCTTTTTACAATCACCAAAACTACAATTGAAGAAAATCTTTTCATCACTTTCAAGCTGTTTTTCATCATTCTCTGGCACAGTGTCTTTTATTTTCTGAAATTTTAATGAGTTCTCGCGAAGAATTTCCGAACTTTCTTTAAAGAACTTCACACAAGAATCTGTGCACATCAATGTTTGATCAGGAAGATTGTCGAATGATGTTGTGGAAATTGAATCTTCGTAATCAAATATTAAGAACTGTTCAAGTTCCGATGATGTCGATTGTGACTCGTACGATGGAGTGTAAGTTGTTAGCTCCGTGTAACAAGGTGAATCGCTTGTTTCATGCCAACAGTTATCAGCATTTAATCCTTGAATTGCATTCTCCTCCTGATTGAAGTCACTTGCTTCAGTGCACGGAAATATTGAAGGTAACGCGATTAAATCAAAATAATTATTTTCTAAAAAGTCCATCGCCGATTTTGATGCTACTTTCATCGGCAAAGAATGTTTTCAAACTGATTTTAATCCTCAATCATTAATGGATTTTATCGAGTGAAAAAGCAACAGCAAAAAAATGATTCGGTTTGTTTAATCTACAGAACAGTAGTGTTCTGAGTTAGACTATTTCAAATCTTCCAAGGGATGCATATCGACACTCAGTAACGGTTCACAACGAATATAACCAGACATCGTCTGCTACTGCCATAACATGCATATTTTTTACTGAATGATTTAAAAAAAATTTACTGTTGATAAAACAGAATATTAAAACAATCCAGAACACTTTCGACGAACTCATTATTATGATAAGCACAGCGAAATTATTAAAAAAAGAAATCCAAGCGTCAATGTGGTTGTGTATGGTAATGAAATGATTGGAAAACGTCTGTGATTGACATTTGTTAATCATACTTCGATTTCTGAAAATTGATTTCATTGAACACATGTCGATGGGGTTTTTACTGATTTTTTTTAATTCCTGAAAACTTTGTCGTCTTCAATCGAAATTCCCCATGAGAAGAAACCTTCTTATTTTAAAAATGATTAAAATGATTGTAAAGGAACAAAATTTGATATTCTTTTTGTCATTACTTTGTCTGTATCGAATAAATGTCTTTATTAACAGCCGTTAGACGATTTCACTTCTCAATGAAATCAAATTCATTTATAGCGAAGGTTCAAATTCAATAAAGCGAAAGCAATGATGTCGTTGACAGAATGTTACCAAGTCAGCGACGTTGCGTTACCGCAAGAACAGCATTAAAAGCAAGCATTTTTCGCTTCTACACTCCCACCACCTTCCGATTATTGACAATTTTCACTTCATTCACTCGACTTCTTCTCTCCCCTAACTAAGAAACATTCTTTTTGATTGTTCATTTTCCACTGGAAATAATAATAATAAAAATAAGGTAACGTTTCTTTGCCTTTCTACTCCACCCTACTTGGAAGCAAAACCTCCTTCTATCGTCTATTATGTTTCACCTTCTTGAGTATTCTATACAACACCGGAATTAAGATGGTAATTGGAATGAGTAAAAGCTACCCCTCATGTGGTGTTGACATGGAATCCGTTAGAGGTTTGTTATATTTAATGAGTGCAATTTGTATAAGATGAAAAATCTTCGTCTTTTGATTTTTCGTTTTATGTTTGCATTGTAACATTAAATGAACAACATTCAACAAGTGTACCAGAAATTGAGCTCATTTTTTCTTCTTCAATAAATAAAAACAAAAAAAATGAGCTACGAGAAAAACTGTGAGTTTAACTTACACATCTTGTGCTGTTGAAAGCTTTTTAATTAATTTCCCCTACGGCGTACTACACTGCACTGCATGAATTATTTTTTTTTATAAATCCTGCAATTCATTCGTTCTATTTTCAGAAATCTTATAAAGTCTTTTGACACTCATTGATTTTTTTAAAGAAATTATAAAGATTGAAGAAAAAGCGTTATTCAGTCATTCTCCAATATTAATTGTGACAAAGGATTTCTTTTTTCGATAAGAAACCGTTGAAATGCTTTTAATTTATTGTGGTAGGAATTCTCATTCAATTGATAAAGTGAAACTTCATTGAAAAAAAGCGATTTAAGAATTTTTTATCAGATTGAATGTTTTAAATTTCTCTTAAAGTTTAAAATTTATTTCTCACTATGCAAAGGAGAAGGAAGAAGAAGTGGAAGTGATTTTGCACAATTTATGATACAAAATGACTGTTTTATTCACATATGGCTTGGCTTATTTGAATGCTGCCACAGAGTTCCACTTTAGTCTGCGATCATTTACATAAATTTTCTCGCTCATGCAATATTGAAAAATTTCGTGCCAAATGTGATGAATGTAGTCATAAAGCAAATACAGCCTCGTGTTTGGCTTCATATCAATCAATCATATTGAGATTCTGATACAAATCAAATAAGATAACCGAACAGGAAAAGTAAGAATATGGGAAATGAAATAAAAAGGAAAGAAAGCAAATGATGATGCAATCTTGAAATTTCAATAATCTTTAAGATGGTGAGTTGTACAATATTTTCGTATGATGTTGAGCCGTCTTAGACCCGAATTGACTCAATAAATATATGAGTTTGATATCAAAACAAAGTAATTTGTAAATCAAAATTTGGGTTAAGTCGAATCAATTTCTATCGTGCGCATGAGGTTTTTATCCACATCCTCATCAAATGAAAGCTTTAAGATTTCAACCTTTAACTTTAGCAGAAAATCTCATTGATTGAATGTAAATTTATTGTTAAGGCTGACCGATAATAAAATTCGAAAATTTGTCTGGTGAAAGTTTCAACTTCTAGATTGATCTGGCTATCCTAGCAGTCTGCATTGAATTGGAATGAATAAATACAAAATCAGTTGGCAAAGTTGCTCAACTTTCTTTCTTCAAATGTTATTAATCATCAGAAGAAATTCTGCTAAAATTCTTCATAGTGAGTTACGATTCTTTCCTTTAACGCTTCATTGGTTGAAGACTTAAACTTTATACAACTTTCGCTCAATATTTTTTCTGACAGATATGAAATAAATCTTGCTCTGGAAAATTTTATTACGAGTAGTTCTTAGCAAAATTTAAAATTGAGAAGTTATTGGATAATCACTTGATGATTGATGAAATGAAATAACTTCAATTGACATGTTATGCAAGCTTAGATAATATTTTGAATAGCAATGAACTCTTTTAGATTAATTCAAAAACGTTCTCGAGAAAACTCTGAAATATTTTAAACTTTAATATAATTCAGAAATTTTTCTAGAACGTTTTTGAATTGTTTAAATTCAAATTACTTTAAGTAACTTTTTGAATGAAATGAAAAATTCTGCCTCAATATTTTCATCGCCTGGAGAATAAATGTTTCTTGAATGACTTCTATACATACTTATGTACATATATTAATGTGGTTGGTTAATTTTCTTGTGTCATACAAATGTTATCAGTGAATTCTTCTTTTCTTTTCATTTGGAAATATTTGGAAGTATTCGAAAGTATTTAGAAATAAAAGACCTCGAAGCTATAGAAATACTCTCAATAATCACGAAACTAAATGGAACATTGATAAATGATTGACGTTGAGATTAAGAACTATAAGAAGTGCTTTCATTTGAAAAGTTGATGACATATGAAAAGAATAATTCAATGAATTAAGTTCTTTGAATGTGACGAATGAACAAGGAAACGATTATTGCGTGAATAGGACGAAAAAAGAGAATCAATATCTTATCAATGTGCGGCTTAACAGCTATGAATAGAAAGCCGCAACTCAAGAGGAAAGAAATTTCAATGATGGCATTGACAAAAAGAGTCTCTTGTGGTCATTATTCATTATTCGGTAAATGTCTTCATTTCAGTCTTAAGACTCGAGCATTATTCATGATCATCATAACATTAAGGAAAGGAATCATAAAAGTTCATCTCAGTGACACTTTTATATCATTCATTCAGCAGGCTCTAAACTTCTTCATTCCTTTTATCATCAAATTCATTTTTCTAGCATTCATAAAATTATTATGATCAGAAATAAACTTAAATTTGATAAAATATAAAAATAAGTTTGACGAGCACATCATTGCACATCATTGAAAAATTTTTATTTCTCAAATATTTCGTGTTCATGTTGAGTTTGAATTTCGGAAAAAGTGGAATAGAATTCGGCGAATGACATCGATTACCATTTCAATGTCGTCTCCCTAGCAAAATATTGAAATGGAAACAGGGTAGGAATGCTATGCTTGCGGTATTATCATTAACTTGACTTTCTTTCTTTTTCTTTCTTGATGTGAATGGTTACACACATCCCTAAAGAAGTTGTTGAAGTTTGAGTCAAAAGATACATAAGCAGGATTATTCATATCACTAATCTGCTCGTTGATCCTGAAGAAAGTTTTATCGCTTCCAATAATATTAAATCAGATGAAAATGTGCACACAAAATTCTTTTTCGCAAAAGTTTGCAAAATCTTTTACTACACAGAACATTGCCCATAGCTATGCGATCAACTTTAAATCAATTTTACATTTTTTACGATAGAAATAAAAAAAATTCAATCGGCTTCTGATAAAATATTCGTAAAATTTTCTGACGCACTGGCAAAAAAAGATTTTTTAGATTGGACATAAAGGAAAGTTTTTATCTTTGAACGAATTTGATGAATTCGGGAGGCGAAATGAAAACAAAAATATTCGTTAAAGATAAGAAAGCAAATTTCTAAAGATTTTAATATTCGCTTTTTGCTGAACAAAGAGAAAAATAGGCGCAGAGTACACAAGAAAAAAAAGAAAAGTTGATAGGTACGCAATAAACAAGCCACAGTAGAAGATTCTTCTTATTTTTTGTTTTCAAACGGTCATGCTGGCGACACCGTGTTTTTAACATCGTTCTTTATCACGATTCTTTAAGCTCAAGCGTGCATAAAAAGGGATGATTGCAATAATTTTCCTATTGAATGATTTCTCCTAGCTTGATGCTGTGGTATTAAAAATTGTTTTCATGCTTTTGTAATGATAGTTTCATTAATCAAATTTCTTTAAATTTAATTTATTGGAAACACTTTGGATGGTTTCACTCTCTTCTCTCATTGAAATGTTGATTTGCTTTATTTTATACTCAAAAACGACGATGGAACGACAGCTCCATTAAGCAATGAAGATTGTCAATTGGCTACAATTATAGAATTCAAACTTAAATTAGAAATAAAATATTTTCTTCGTATAAATTGTAAAAATATTTCTTGAAGAAACTTCTTTAACATTCAACAACTCTGTCGCTTCCATTCAACGAGACAATTCATTCATTCATCTAATGAGTTGCTCTACTCGTTTCTGATACATTAAGAAAATATTAGCAAATTTCTTTTCCTATAACTGTTCAATGTCGTCTTACTTATATCCGCCACTTTTCTCTCTTGAATCTTCCGTCACCCCTCACACTCTACACCCACGTTGTATTAACCAAAAAACTCAATAATATAAAAGTTTTGTTGATATGTAGTTTTAGTTTGCAAAAATGGGGAGACTTCCGTCGTCTCTGTCACATCTCATAAATTTCTGACAACTTGTTTGCTCTCTTGTTACCTGACGTAACACGAGAAATGAACCAATTTTCTATGGCGCCTCGTTGTCGTCTTTGTAACTAAACGGTGAAAAGCGATTACTCCATAATATTTCGTTTCATCCAATTTTTCTATATGCTTCGAAGCTGTAGAATGCTCTCATCCGTTCGAAGTTCTCATGAAAAATAGATATTTTACCGTGAAATTTTTATACTTTTCGAATGTTTGGAAGAGAAATTGTATTTTCCTCTAACGTCGTCATTCAGCCCGTGAAGAATGGTAAGAAAATGTTCAAGTTTTGCTTTCTAAAGAATATAATTCACTTTTATTGAAAGAATATTTCCTCTTCTTTCTATTTTCTTTCGAGTAAGCAGTATCCTGTTCGTCGCACTGTTGAAGCATTTCTCCGACTTCACTTTCCATTAATCGAATGGACAAGAAATTTCCCTTCCCTCCGTGCAACATAATTATGCTGTTCTATTAGACTATTAGTGTCGACAATATTCGCAAATGGCACGGAAAAGAATATTTAATGTATGTACGATTTCTATGCGAATGAATGAGATTTCTTTTATTATTAATAAGTAATTGATATTAGTTGAAGTGGAACGAACTGGATCATTCTCATTAGGATTCAAAAAACATAAAACTTCTTCTTGTGCATAAGTAAGTAAAGTACTATTCTTATGGGGAGCATTAATAGTAATAAATCACCTTCTTAGTAGTGAAAATTGTTGTCGGAAATTTCACGGCAAATAAACTTGATACATTTCTATCTGATTGATGCATCACTAGAGATGTTGAACAATTTTCAAGTTTAACAAAATAAAAAGAATTTTTCTTTGAAATTTGTTGAGAACCCCAACAAGTTTCATTGACTTCTCATAACTCTTTCATAAAATATGCAAAGCACTCAATGCTAGGTGAAATCTTTACCTTTCTTCATTTACTCTGAATGTTCTTTAATATGTTAAGTTTCTGAATCTTTTCTTTCGGGCGCCAAGCTGACGGTGAATTTCAGATGAATTGATCATCATTTTGCTTTCTCTCCCCGAAGATTTTTTCGCCACGAAAGTTTTTCTTTCCCTCGTCTCCACTGCTTCAACTAACCCTGCAAGAATGTATCTACATAGTTTTGAAGATAGATTTATCTCGGGTACGCATCGCAATCGCGATGATACATCAGAAACATTTTTCAAACTCGGGTAAGTTTCGTAGCACTTTTTTTGTCTACGGGGATTTTTTTCTGCTGAGATTCGCGAAGGGAGAAAATTTTAAGTAAATAAAGTTGTTGGTTTCTTCAATCTATTCATTTATTTATGGATCGAGTAAAATGATGTGGGTGGGAGAGGAATAAATAAATTGTAAAGGCAAATGATACATTTTTATGAATTGGATAAAATTTCATGGATTTATGTTTGAGAATGAATTTTTCGCATTTTTGGAACTTATTCAGATTCAACACACGCTTGAATTAAATTGCAGTCAGATAATTTTTCAAAAAGTGCGCGTGACATTTTAAATCGTGAATATTTATATTCATGTTCGTTGTTTGACATGAGTTTTAATATCAATAAAAAAATCTTCTAAATCGACAATTTTTTTCTGATTTTTCTAAAGGATGGAAAAAATGTTCAATCAGATTGATCAATTGGTTAATAATCACTGCAAATTTGTGGAAAACGTTGATGGACTTTCAATAATCTTTTTCGAAAATTATTTATCCAGTCGATTTGATAAAGTTCAATTAAGGTTGACGCTGCCATGCAAATTCAATCAAAGTCAAAAGTTGATAAAAAAAACTTTAAATCTATTAGAATCTTCCATCAATTTTCGATTATGTTGAGAGATGCCATGTAAATGCACAATAACTCATGAAGTGGGAGTAGAATAAAGTGTCAAGCGTAACTGATATCAGATGAGTAGAATTATTGACAGCTGAAGCGAGATGAATTAAATTACGTTAATTGGTTGGCAACCTTATAACAGCCTGAGAAACGAAACAAGATTTAAAAGTATCTGTTGTGTTACTAGGATGAGAAAAAGTTCTGTCATTTAAACTCAGGTCTTGACGTTGGGTTATCAGTCACCAATGGTTGTGCACACGTTCGTAAGAAGGAAGCAGAAAAAAAAATCTTATAAACAACAACGATGATTCACATGCTTACGTTTTCAATCATCTATGTTACTGTTTGACCCCCTTCGGCAAACAAAGTGCGATGATAACTTCTGTGATGAATAAAATATTAATGTTGTCATATATGAAACATGAAGGGGAAAGAAGAAATGCAATGAAAAATTTTCCTTGACTTTCGTATTTCTATTTAAGGTTCAACTTTTCTTTTTTTTGGCTCAATTTCATTTCAGTTCACATCAAAATCATGTCTGTTTCTTTGTCAATGTTCATAGCTTCGAATGGCGAGATTAAAAGACTGGTGAATTTCATCCGCTTAGCTCATTTTGTATATGAATAATTTATGATTTTAATAAACTGTGATTTGCTGGCAATATCTCAAAACTTTTCTTCACCGCGGAAGAAACTTTCTTTTTCTCTCTTTGTATCTGAATTTTTTATGAAAAAATATTTCCTACTTTTACACTTCACAGCAGTTAAGTGTGTGGAAAACTCTGAACTTTTACTTCGATGTGTCTATATCTCGGATAGAATGAAAGCATTTGAGGTCAGGACCAAAATTAATTAAATCAAGCCGGAAAAATCATCTCGCCGGTCTTCATTTTCTTTCTCTCTCCTTTTTTTCCTTCTTCTTCTTTTCTTTTTTTTTTTGAAACATAAAATATTGTCTGTGAAATCTAACAATTGTGCATTGGACGAATTTATGTATATTGAATGAATGACGTTATTTATTGCCTTTGGCTCGTGAAGAAATTTTCTTCACTCTCACATGTCTCGGAAAAGTCTCTCAGTAGGATATGTAAAAAGAAACTCCATGCATTCAATAAATCTTAATACTTCAGTTAAAGTGTTAGAGATAACAAATTACTTTTCAGTTTTCTGAAAGACGAAAAGAAAAGTCTCTAAGTTTGAGACAGTTTTGAAAATAAATTTTGCAGTGACAAAGTTTTTTCCAACTCGTCCGTTTGAGAGAGATTATGAAAAATCGATATGTAACTGCTACGAAATAAACTGATTAGCATATAATTTAAATAAAACAGAAATTTTCTTCTGAAGCAAATCTGTAATCTTTCACTTATCAAACTTTCTGCACACAAATATTTTAGATTCTCTCGATGTTTATTTCTTCGAATTTAATTAGAGCTTTCAGAGAAATCAAGAATGTCATCATTGATTGATATAATTTTCTCTTTAATTTTCTTTGAATACCAAGTAGGAACTTTTTTTCTAATGCTAACGAATCAAAGTAAAAAATTCATTAGAAAAATAGACAAGAAAAAAATATTTAATTTCCCTTTGATTTTAAGCTTCCAAAAAAAGAAATCATATTCAAAAGAAGATATTAAAAATATGAAAATTTACATTGCGAAAACAACGTAGTAAAGATGGAAAATAAAAACAATAATAATAAACATCTACTTGCTCTTATTTTGCTTAAAATCTTCAAACGTTTCCCTTATGAACTGGTCAAACGAAATATGTTTAAGAAGAAAAAAAGCGCTTTGTGGAAGCTTTTTCCGCATAGGCTTTTGATTTCAATTCCTTTGTGGAAAAATAAATAAATAAAATAAAAAGTGAAATGAATTAAATACCAAGGGGAAAATCTGAGAATATTTTTTTTTATATTAAAAATTAAGGCAATCAAATGTCAGCCGTTAAAGTTTCTTTACCTTGAATTTGTATTTGTGTTAAAAGATTTCATTTTCGGAAGCTTTTCTACAACTTGAGTAGTAGGTAAGTATTTTTGTACATATAAGTTGTGCGCATGACTTGTACATAGCTCCCCAACGCTTTATGTAGAAACCGGAGAAACGTTTTGGGGAAAAGGAGCTTCATGAAAAAGAAAAAGTGTTTTTCGGCAAACCAATCAGAGACGAATAAAACTTTGCCTTTATCTACTTTCTTAAAAGCGTGAGAATACTTCAACCGGATAATTTCCTTCCACAAACAAAACCTTTTTCTTAATATGACGAACTTAAAAATTAAGATCAATTGTTCATAAGATAAATGATGAAGCGATTTAACTTTTTTTTTATTCTTTTATTGTTTTAATAAAAAAATTTTGAACAAAGAACAATAGTTTTATAAAATGCAAAGTAATTTGGAAACTTCCAAAGGGCCCACGTCATTAGTTTATATTTCTTGACCTTTTTCAACGTCATTCGTCGATCTTATAATTATCCAACAGTTTCTTCACTTCATACGAAAGCATGCATAAGGAAAACGAAATTATCGCTCTTGAAAAAAAAAACATGTGTTTATATATTTACGAAGTGTGGATAAAAATAATATTGCGAATGTTTAAGAGTCTAAAAATAAGCTCTGAAACAAAATTCTCTCGTCTTCGATCTCTAAATCAATGTACCATTAAAGACTTCTCTGATAAACATCAGTGAAAGAGAAAAACAGAAGAAAAAAACTTTAAATATCACGAAATCAACAACAATTCATATGCGAAAATGTTAGACGACGAGAATGGTTGAGGGTGAAATGAAAGAATGTTTGTTTGTTTGGATTTTTCCCATTTTTCGCTTTATATACATAAATGTTTTGTTTTTCACATGTCGATTTGTGCCTCTTTGTTGACACTTGTTGATTTGATTTTGTGGCTGATCAACAGCTTTTCCTTGCCACTAATCGATATTATTAAAAGAATAATTAATTGCTATGATTAATCAATATCAAGTTCCTTTTGTTTAAACATGATGCAAATTCCTGAACCTGTTATGGAAGCTTCGATTTGTTTTAATTCACTGAATAATTACAATTTACTTGTTTCATGATTTTCAATGAATGTTAATTAAGAAGTTACGGGAAAATGAGTGAATTAAGTCATCACTAAATGAAAACAAAAAAACCAACGAAATAAAATCAAAGAAAAATGAGGAAGAGAAATTTAAAAGAATTTTTTAATGATAACAAGTCATTATGCTAAATAACAATCAGTTGATTCATTCAAATGTCCTACGTAATCAAAAGAAGTCGTCGAATGTGACTTTGAATGTAAGACGTCAGCAACAGAAACAGATTGATTAATATCGAAAAGCATGAACATATACCAGCAGCATTAAGTTCTTTTTCTTAAACTATAGATTGGAGAACGTAATAAATAAGCGAAAATTCGAAGATTCAACAAGCTTCACATTGCACACAACATTAAGTTTTCACTCTGGGAGATCATGAACGTTCGTTCCACACAGACGCAGAGCGTTCTATAACAACACGTTTTATATACATTTGTACATTTTCCCCACTTCCACTCCATTCATATTCGAAAAACTGCTGAAAACGAGAAGAGAAGAAAAAGCCTTTAGTCAAGTTTCAATTCCGGTAGAAGATACAACGTATTACATTTTTCTCTCGCAAAGAAAGAAAAAAAAGAAGTAAAAAAATTATCTTTTCGCCTCCGAACCGAAACAACGTGAAACGATCGAAATAAAAATATTTTTGTAATCGCCACGCGGTGTCACGAATCAAACTTATTCTCATTATGCTTGATAAGTTTTTTCGAATAAATTTCGTAAATATCAACAAATTGCGTACTGAAATTTCGACAAAATAGTTGAAGTTAATTAACGCGCTTACAAAGCTTAGTGTCGAGGGCAAAATTTTTTTTTCTTTTGAATATGGACACACACAACAAAAATACAAACTTACGACTTCGCGAGTGTATTTTCTTGCTTCTTGAGATTCTTTCAAGATCATTTTTGGCACCTTCTCGGATATTCCGCACAAGAAGAAAACTAAACAAAAAAAAGCCGAATGATTCGCTCGCTCTCACTCTCTCGTTTGGCCACCTCAGCACCCAAAAATTAAATTTTTAAAAATAGCTCTTTGTGACAGTGGTGGTAATGTGAATTAATGATATTTGAAGAGAAGAAAAACCGCGAGTCATTGAAATTCCTGTTCGGCAAAAAATCGCGTTTCTTTCTCAAAAAATCGTGGCAAGTTAAAAAGTTTGAAATCACATCCATTAGTTGATTAAGAAGCTTTTGACTTTAGATCGCGCGCTGCTCCGATCATTCGACACTTGTTTAAATGTTAGCTCAAAATTAAGACGCTTAGAAAGTAAAACACATTCGTTCAATTGCCTCTGTGTAGTTTTATTATCTAATGTACATCACATTGAAATGTGCTTTTCCACATACACAGATGATCAACGTTCAACAAAAGAAGCGAGTACGAAAAGTGTTCGCGCTTATCATTATCAGCAGTTTTATGATGTTTTATTCCATATCTTTTTCTGTTACTAAATTTGTAAATTCGTTAATGTAAAGTGAAGTGGTTATGAGCTTACGAAAATGATTTTTACACACATAATTGAAGGTTTCAATCTCCAGTTTTTTTTACGATGTATGTACATGAAATGTGTGAGAACTTATTTAAATCTGCTTACGGTCAGAGATGATAACTGTTGATGTTATCACAACGATACGAACAAGCGTAGAAGAAAAAATTTTCCATTACTCAATTCAAACCTCGCGGAAACTTATTAATCGTTTAGTAAATTTGGTATTCAAATGATTTCCACATCTCTGGAATCCCCGCAAAAATAAATTAATAGAATCTAAAAAATTACTATGGAATTACGTATCATGAAATAATTGAGATTAGAACGGAGAAGAACGACGGAAAATAAAAGAACGAAGATATCCAAAAATCAAAGACGTTCTTGAATCTTGAAATTGATATTGATATTCAAATGCGCCGTTCGTTGTGCTTTAAGATTCATCTGAAATCGATGAAAATTCACAAAGAGAAGAAGCGAAGATATGTAAAAAGAAATATTTAAATTATAAACGATCACGTGTTCCGTTGTTGGCATTTTATAATGTGAAGCACAGACAGCAAGCAAGCTCCAGTATGTTAATTTTTTTTTTGTTAGATTCTGCCAGTTCAAAGTATAAATGCGTGAATAATTTTTTGTCTTCTCTCTGTGACTTTATTTTACACATCAAATTTAAATTAATTTAAGAGTAAAAAGCCGAAGACCGTTAACTGTATTGGTCGATTTCGACTATATTTATACGACGTTCAAAGTATGAAGAACTGTAATGTAAGTTTCTATATCGAACAGTGAGAGAAGGAGAATTGTAAAATAAACTCTGTCGATGTTGATGTCGTGTATGTAGAGTATGAGATAGGAACTACGTCTTAAAAATTTCATTCGGTTTTGGAGTAATAATAGCTGCCGCCAAGAAAGCGAACGAAGGAAGAAAGAGTGTCAAAATCACTTAATAAAGCTCTAAATACTTATAAAAGTTTTTTTTTATATATATTTCGCGAGTCACACCTCCAGCCGTTTGATTTCGTTTTTCACTATTTCGACATTCTTTTTTATTTCGTTGAGCTTCACGTTGAGTCAGTGCGAGGTGCAAGTGCAAAGATTAATAAGAAATTTTATTTCGATTTCCTTGTAGGCACCTAAATAAATTAAATTGTGTGCGCATTAAGAGTTTTTGTGATTTTGATTTGTTTCGCAAAAAAAAAAGAGAAAAAATAAGAAAAAGAAAAAAGGAAGCAAATTTACAGTTTCACTGATAACAGCAGAAAATTTAACGAGATTTTATTGTGAATCGTCGCAAGTACTCGCAAGTGCAACGAAGAAGGAAATAATATAAAAGTTGATCGTTCGTCAAGGACTTCACAATTGTCGAGTGCTTTGTTGAGTGTTACTAAGAAGCAAAAAGCTTTTGATTCATAAAGATGGATACATTCAATGACCCATGGCCATCACCGCCAGTTTTGGATGGATTATCGAGTGATCAAATGGATTCGTTAGCCGAGTTACATGAAGGTGCTTTTGAGCCTCAAATTCGAGCTCGTTCAAATACATGGCCCTTGCCGAGGCCCGAAAATTTCGTGGAGCCAAATGACGACACTGAAAATAACCAACAAACCAGTAATCAGCAGTCAACAACTGGTAAGTTCCAGAACTTAATTACTCACTTATGGAACATTGTTTAAGTTTTTCTCTGATTCGTGAATTAGTCGAATTAAATTATGGAAAATGATGAGATATTAAGAATGAATAAGCGATGGAAAGTACATACGAAATTGTTTCCACTTAAACATTTAAATTGTGAACAAATCTGGAGCTCAAAGCAAGCAAGACATTGACCAAATTTGATTTGATTTCATTTAATTATGGTTCAATTGACTTCTGAATCACGCGATTAAAATCAAGGAAGTTCATACTCGATCTACATTCAAAATATTCTTCTTGTTTCTTTCTTTCTTCTACGACGTTTCAAACACATCGCGATAACTTGACACACTCAACTAAGTATGAGAATTTTTTTTTGTTTTGTTTAAGGAAAATCTCAGCTGTGCACCAAGAGAGTTAGCTGAGTGAATTAAAACATCACGTTTTCAAAAACAAATATCAAACAACACAAAACAACAATTGTTTTGAATGAAAACCGAAACATTTTTTTTGCAAATGAATGTTCGTGTATAATTTCATGAGACTCGACGTCACAAATTTCTTACTCCGATCGCATGTTTCACCAACACAATTGAGTTTGTTTTACTATAAAACATTTTTCTTCTCTTTTTCGAAGAAAAACTACGCATTTTATAAAGTACGCGAACAAGAGAAAATGTGCGATTGCGAGGCTTGTTGCAAAGTTTTCCATTGGCAACCGGTTTAAGCAATTCACGCCATTCCAAAAAAGTAGATAAATTTTATCAATTGATGTTTCCTTCAAGTCTCAGTTACAGAAAATAAAAGTTTCGTTAATTCTCGTAACGTTCAATAAGCGACGGCCTTTATCATATCTTTACTGATAAGACTATCTATTATCATACTCAATAAAACTCACAAAAAATGTTCAAAGTTGAAAGAAAAAAGAAAGAAGAAGAAATTATTCTGTAAAATCCAGTTCAATGCATTCAATTGATACTCAATTCTTATCAGTAAACTTTTCTCTTTCTTACTACTTCAACATGTACTTATTATTTGTAATGCTGATGATGTCGAACAGAAAGCAAGTAATCGAAAGTTCTTGATCTTTGTTAATCTTTACTTGTACTTATAAGTATACATACATTTAACTTATATTCATCTGTTTCTACAAAATGGTTCGGGAATCTTCGAGTCATGTTCTAAATACATACAAAAGCTAGGAAAAAAACTCCTTTGAAATGTGACTCAAAAGAGAATTTGCATAATGTTTGTAAACAAAGCAATGTGTTTTTTTATTTACTTTTTGATATTTTTTCTTCTCGGTCGATCTTACCGACAATGAAAACAAAACATCTTTAACATATACATAAGTTCTGTTTTAATCATCTTCAATTTGTCAATTTCACTACGTCATGAGTGCCAAAAAAGAAACGTAAAATGATAACAACATGTGATGTGGTTAAAGTTACGCCAAAGTATTCAAAGTAAAGATAAAAAACGATTTTTTTTCTTGTTTTATAATTGCGGTGGAATCTTTTAAACAAATCCATATTCACTTATGTGGATAGACGCCATGAATCTATTGACTAATAGTAATAAATAAACAAAGAGAGAAGAAGAATATCCAAGGTCGTTTCTGAACAAACGTCATTGAGTGTCTGAGTCTCAGACATTTGTTCTGAATGTTTCTTATATGCCTCATAACTCTATTTAACATTATCATGTCTGTTTTCTAGGAATTCCACCCACACCAACATCCGCATCGTCAGTTTCAAAAAAGAACTCTTCCAGACGAAATGCATGGGGCAATTTGTCATATGCCGACCTTATCACAAAAGCAATCAGCTCAGCATCAGATAATAGGTTAACGTTAAGTCAAATATACGAATGGATGGTGCAGAATGTTCCATACTTCAAAGACAAAGGTGATTCGAACAGCAGTGCGGGATGGAAAGTAAGTCTTTTCCCTCTCTCTTTATTACCTTCTTAATTTAATGTTTTATTAAAAACTATATAAAGCAATCGTGTAATTAGCAAATATCGGAGTCGCTTAAAAAGATATGAAGCGAGTATTAATAAAGAAAAAAAAAAGTGGGATAAAATTATTTAGCTAACCGGTTTTTCGTGTTGATCTAAAATACATTATGGCGAAGCTATGACGTTATTTAACTCGTTTTTTGTGTTTTAAAAGTAAAAATAATTCTCATAAATGCTTAACTTTGATATTCAAATAACGGTTTGTTGATATATTACCCTCGATCAACATCAGAATTCGTATCCTCGACAGCTTTCATGTTTATTTCAGTTCCAACTGAATTGGTAATTCCTTCTTTGAAATCGAATTGAAATCGAGATCGAGAACAACAAAAATTAGTGTCGAAAGTTTCTTTTGACGTCAAATAAATAAAAGATGAGCTTCGAGAACCTTCATAGTATTCGTATGATGATAATCGATTGTGCACATACTGCTAGTTTTACAGTTTGAGTTTGGCGTTGAGAATGAAGAATAATTTTCGTTTTGATTGATAAGACGTAGTCGTAATGAACCTTGATTGAAAAGGTCATAAGAAAAAAAAATGCAGCAGCGAAGAATTTTAATCCGATTTCACTCCCTTACAAAGATGAAACTTTCATCAGTTTTATTTATAATTTTAATTAGTCACAATGCACGTGTTTGTCGTTACAATATCGGATTTTATTTTCTGTATTTGTCATTGAACATTCATTACTAAAGCGTGAAAAGAAATTTAAACAAGAAATCATTATAATAATCAGAATTGTCTAGAAATTTTCGAATGAAACCAAAAAGTTGCAAAGATTTCATTTTGTTACAATTTTCAAAATCTTAAATGTCATCGATACTTTGTTGCTTTATTGTTATATATTAAATTTTAAATTGGCATCAGTCAGTGAAAAAGATTATTCTCAATTCTCACATAAAATGATTTTAACTAGATGAGATTAAGAAGTGAAGTAAAATAGGAATAAATAAATAGCAAAAAACGAAACGCTAAGATGGCAATTGAACACAATAAATATTTGCTTAACTCAACTTCAATATTTTAAATCTCTCAACACTTCAATTCCTGACTAAACTATGGCTTCTAAATATCCATCACAACAGCATTTTGATTGTCGTTTGTCAATAAGACGAACAGCATGCATTCAATATTAATGGATCTAAAACATTTAAAAAGAGTTTTTTTCTTCCTCGAGTAAGGAGAATTTTTAGGGTGTTGGATAAGCCGTGTCATTAATTGAAACAAATTTCATTTGCTATCCGCTACACATATCGAGACTTGTCAATTAATCTCAATCAAACGGTCAAACAAAAGAATGTAAAACATTGAAGTTTAAGTGAAAAATTGAACATTCAGATGCCGAATCCACCTAATTGCTTCAAATCCTCTCTGATTTATTGTCGCCTCTGCCTATCTCCGTATCATGTCGTCGTTTACAATACAACCAGAAACCAATTTTCCATTTTCAGTCCCCTAAGTTTCTCATTTGCTTGTATCGCTTATTCTTTTTTTTTGCACATTTAACGCTTCCACTTGATTTGCGGATAGTCTTTCTCATCAACAGGCACATCAATCGTGATCTCTTCGTGTAGAAAAAGTATTAATTAAACTAAATGCTCATCAATTTATTATTCCTTTCGAAATTTGTGTCACTTGTGACTTGATTCATGGATTGAGTGTCTCTAATTTAACCATTAACTTGTGATTACCTTGCTGTTGAAAAGATTTTGATACTGGCATTGAAAATATTCAAGTTAAGTTGACTTTTAACTTTAATATTCTTAATTGTTAACATTGATTGGTTGTAACCGGAAATTCTTCAACATTCATGATCATAAATCGTTAACTTAACTCTTGTGTAATGTTTCACAAAACGCCCTTCTCGTAATAAGTATCTGCAAGAAAACTATTCACAAACCAATCGAAATATTGATTTGTAATAACGTAAAAGATTTAATACCAAAGCGACTTTAAGTGATTTTCGGATAGAAATTAGTTTGCGTTGTTCAGCTTTAGCATCTTATCTGTTGCAATTTAGATGCTTCGATATGTGATGGCGGGCAAATGTTATGTCAACTTTTATTAACATTTATTACAATTGATAACCCCCGAAAAACTACTTCACATGATTTGCTTGCTTTATATTTATCATATCATCAAACATGGTTGTGAACAGTTCACGAAAGAAATGAGAGAAAGAAACTGTCATAACATTAAGGACGATAAAAGTTGCTACAGAAAAGTTATCCAATTGGAAAAGATCTCTGCCCATTTACGTATCGTTTATCCTCTCGTCTTGTTTCCTTTTCTTTTCGCAAAAACCGATGAGAAATAAAATTTAATGTTTTCGAGGAAGTTTCTTTCTTCATATTACTTGACCATTTTCAGAAAGAAGAAAAATCGAATCCCTCCTGGATTATTTACGACATAAAATATCGACTAATGACATTGCAAGAATAAACACAAAAGAAATTACTTTAATGAAGATGCTTGGAGAAGGGCTCGCTCGTATCATACAAGAAAAGTAAGAGATAATGAAATTATTATTGATTTTCGATTGATATTTTTCCTTCTTCTTGTTAATGTCTCGGAATGCAAGTCAAACAGAAAATAAAATGTTCTGAAATTTCATAAAAATTCATGAGCGATTATTGAACCATCTTGTCGACCTAATTGTAGTCACTACATTGTACACTTGATAGTAACGATTGGATCACATTGATATAACCATTTCATTTGTATCGGTTAGCAATAAAATTATTCCTATCGGTTGGCCTACTTACTTCATTAATCATAGTGAAGTTTTGTGGGTAAGTTTGCTTGATAAGACTGCTTAAAGTGTACGCCTAGAAATCAAATCATAACCAAATGCTCTGTCTCGCTTGCGTTTGCAATTAAGTACAAAGAAGTAAATATTTTTATTGAGAAATGAATTCTGTTGAATTTGCTGATACTGTCTGAAACACTTCCCTTGATAATCCATCACAATGAATCATAACAAAAAGAAACGAACACGTGTAGTGATAAGCGATGTTTTTGACGACTAATTATTCTTTCTTTCACATCTTCAAATCTATCTACGCAACAGACGACAAATTTCAAAAGCTTCTCAACAAATACCTTCAAGTTTAAACATGAAAGTTTCAAATATGAATCATAATTTGATGAAAGTCAAAGAGACATCAAAGCAAATTGTTTTCCCACCTTTTTCATTCATTTAAATACAACAATTTATCACTTGGGAATGCAGAATGAGGATAGCTTCAAATTAGTTAAATTGTTTGTGAAATGAATGCAATTATGACACTTCAAAAAATATCAAAAGGTTGTAGGTGTCAGTTGTAATTTGCGGGTAGACTGATTCAACAAAACTACTGGCTGCTCTCGATCTTTCTTTATCCTTTCTGAGTCTAAATTCTCTTTATGTGGATAAGTAGAGAAAAAAAAAACTTAAAACTTCTTTTTTTCCCTTCAACGAACACGACAATGATAAATTAACTAGAATCTGAATATAATTCTGGGGATGCAGTCTAAATGGCGCCAAATCTTTAAAATTCAATGACATTGGAGGGAAGGTATCAGACAGGGTAAAATATTAGTGTCGATGGCGTGTGCGAAGGTAAATAGAGGAGAAATATATTCGCTCTTATGTATATATAGAAATAGAATCGTTTATTTTGAGGGTTTTCCAAACGACTCCCGAATAGCTTCTTTTTTCATTCATTCTCGCACTCTTGCGTTCGTTACAATGTGACAGACTAAAATTGAATACTTTTTCTCGCCTCATTTCTCTGACTTCACATTTGTCGTCGTCGACCTTGTAAATATTATCACGTAGCTCCCAACAACACTTCAATCTAAACTTTTATTTTCACACTTCCGCAAATGCGTAAAATTTCACACGCTGCTAAGTTTGCAAATATTCTTGATAACTGAATAGATATTTATACATATATCCACGTCTAGTTTTATTACACTTTTACTGTCTTCTTTTATTATAGTCACTGCTGACATCATGTTGGCAAAAAAAGAGGATATATAGTTGAGGAAAATTTATTCAAAACGAGTCCCGCACAAGGCCACTCAGTCGCTGAGATTCTAATTTAAATATTTACGAATATGAAAATCTTTTTTTGGATTAAAATTGATTCACCGATAGATTTAATATGTTAATTTGAATATATAAATTATTTAATCAAATAAGAATATTTTACAGCATGATGAATCACATGTTGAGTTTACAACTTTACAAAGGGTAGTAAATTTATTTTTGTATCAATTTATTCAACAAAGTTTCATAACGTCTCGTTACTATGCAAAATTAATAGAAGCTTCAAGATATAATAATTCAAATGTGCATTGCAATGATTATGTAAGAATTTAAATCTGTTTGTTCTATTTGATTCGAGTTTCTGTTGATCGCGAGTTGAGAATCACTGCTTGATTCAAAGTAGAATTTGAGAAGCTGATTGTCTTTAAATTTATCTGAGAAACTATCTTGTTTTATTGCAAACTTCCATCACAATAAATATGAAAGTAGAATCCATTTGACAAAGAACAGAACATCAACTGTTTCAAACGATGCGTACATTTGCCAAAGAAATTAACGAAAATGAACAAATCCCGAAATGGCTTGTAAATACTGCGCTCATTTATTTTGACGACACAAGTTTGTTTGAATTTTTACTTTGCAAAGTTCTTCCACCTAAATTTAAGCGAAGCGATTTGCCTCTTCGACATTTTAAGGCGCCGCTACGCTTTCTATTCTCTCCTTGTGAGGGGTGAAATTGTCTTTTACATATTTTTCGTTATCATAAAATATAAAAAAGAAAGAAACTTTAAAAGTTTGTCTTTTGTTAACAAGCAGATTCTTGTATGCTTTATTACACGACTGTGTGCAACATAGGACGCCAAAAAACTCTGAATCTTTATGATTTAATTCCACACGTACTCAAACTTCATTAATTATTCATTTTTCAAGTCTCATCTCGATTTTTGCCACGCTTCACAGTTCACAGTGGAAAATTTTGCTGCCCCAAAAAAACGAACTCATTGTATTAAATTTATTTACACATCATTGATTAATTTTTGTGCTGTTGAAGGAGGAATTGCGAGCATAAAAAAAAGAAGTTGTAACCATCAATTTTTGACAAGTACCAATTTCTATTCATAATTTTTTTCTCTCCGTCATTTCATGTTATGCCGTCGCACAAAGTACGCGGGCGATAAAAAAATTTGAGAACCGTCTTATGACTTCTTTAAAAAGGAATTATTAAGTCATGAATTTTCATGGCATGAAGCATAAAATTGATTTTTTATATACATCATCAACAGTAACATTGCCGATATCGTTACAGAATTCTATTCGTCACAATTTGTCACTACACAATCGATTTATGAGAGTACAAAACGAAGGAACTGGCAAGTCATCCTGGTGGATGTTAAATCCTGATGCCAAGCCAGGAAAATCCGTGCGAAGACGCGCAGCATCCATGGAAACTTCAAAATTCGAGAAGCGACGAGGGCGAGTTAAGAAACGTGTCGAGCAGATGAGAAATGGTGTACTAACAAGTAAGATTGAATTGTGACATCTTCTAAAAGTCATTGCTGGAAGCAATATAAATTTAATTTCATTTACAGATGTGACTGGCGTTTTGAACGATGTCAACTCGTCGCCTGGAAGCAGTGTAAGCGAAGGATTAGATCTCTTTCCTGAAAGTCCTTTGCATAGGTATCTATCAAATTTAAATACATTTTTTTATGCAAAAGATTTAACTTACTTATCACGTGACTTGTAGTTAAATTAGTTATCTGAATGAGTATTTAGATATTTTATTAATTCAACGTTGACAGGGATTTTTGTTGACATATGTGGGCTTTGACCTTTAATTAACATCAAAAATCTTCTCGCTTGATTTATGAGATTTCATGAATAGAGAAAGACTTTAATTTTGCAATGTTTGGAGTTTTGTTACAAAAGTTATCGTCAGCGTTGAATAATTTAGAAGTTACTTTAGCTTATCAGTGTTTTTAGATTTTCTGATTACATAAATTCATAAGCCATTCGTTTGGATGATCTACTGCTACTTGCAGATATCTTTAATGGATTATTCAAGTATCTAAAGCAATAAATAAATATTTTAAGACGTTTCTGTTCAGATTTCTCGTTGTTAAAAAGCTTGAACAAAGTAAACCTTGACTCAATGTTAAAACTTTTTTTTTGTCCTTCGCGATTTTTCCAAAATATTCTTAATTCTTAGATTATTAGACAAATATATTTTAAGCTTGAAATTTGCATAAAACAATCCAAAGTTTCATTTAATTTTGAAAGAATATTTCTTAAGTTTATTTCTTCTTTTTTTATTTTAATTTTATGATATGCTGTTTGATTTTATGACGCAAAAAAAACAATTTTTGTTCCAAAAAATGATAATGAAGTGGAAATTTCCAATTATCACCTGATTTTCGACAACGTGCAAGTTCGAACGCCAGTTCTTTGGGACGATTGAGTCCAATACCGTCGTTAGCACTTGAGAACGAATGGAATAATTATGCAACAGAGTTTATTGGAGACGATAGTAATGCTATTGGTGATAACCCACCAAGCTCGATATTAGAAGACTTAGCTGGAACGCTTGCTGATGAGTTGACGCTGCAGAATGATTTATTTAATCAAGGGTCAGTATTTATCATCATCAAACACTCACAAAATGTTATGAAAATCATTCTCACTAACTCAAGTTGTTTCCACTACATAATCCGATGGTATTAAGTGTAAAATATTTCCATCTTCTCAACGATTTCTTAATTATTTAGAGAACCTTGACTTCAGATCATATTTGCAGTGAAAAAGATAAAAGACGATCTAAGTAATTGACTTTACAACATTTTAATATATTTTGTTTCTTTCTATAAATGTTTTTCATCTTTTCGTTATTTTATTGCATATTTTTTTCCAGAAAATTTTCAAGTACTTTTTTAGTAGAAGCATGAAAGTAGTTCCGTCCTTCCATTTTAAAAGTTTATGCAATTTAATCATTCATGTGAACATATCTTGAAGAGCAAGCATAAGAAATTGTTTTCATGTGGGGTGACTGAGTTGAAAGTCAAATCTTCATGTTTGCTTTGACCTTAATGTGACAAAATTTCAACTTAGCAACAACACTTTTGTATTCAGCTTTAAAAGTTGTTTAGATGACAGAAAGTCTCACAATAATTTCTTAAAGATTGCATCAAATATTAAACATTTCTGTCAACAATCAAATTTTATCTCGAATATTTTTCTTCTTTTTTCCGCCAACTGGTCATACGGCTGGAGTAGATTTAGCACAGCAGTTCATCCTCAACCACCTCCACCTTCCCAGCCACCACAATATGCTATTCATTCGACGATGTCAGCTTCGTACGGTTTGAAACAACCGAATCAAGCCATTCACTTGCTTCAAAATAACACAAGAGAGGTTTGTTGCTAACGCTAAACTTCTTCTCTCTTCTTGACAATATTTATTGACACTTTTTTCTATTATTAATCAGAGCATGTCACCGGGATCCGTAACTGGCATGTCGCCATCATACAGTGAACCTTCACCTGACTATTCAATGTTGGTCAACCAAAATCGCCTACCAAGGCCGTCATCTAATAGTCCACCTGTAAATAACACACAAAATCTTACAACACATATCGGAAGTGAGTAGAGATCGTTAGTTAGAAAACTAAAGTATTAAAGCAGAATGAGAACGATTTAATGTTTGATATCTTTCCACTTCAGATAACACACCCCAAACTCTCATGGGTCAATTTATTCATTTACTTCAGAATAATGCGCGCGAGGTTTGTTAAACAATGACTTTATGTACTTACATATCAGCTTGGGGTACGGATAATAAATGTTTTCTTTTTTCCCTTCATTACCTTCAGACGACACTGAATAATCAAACAAATTTGGATGACTTAAACTTAAATTTGGAGTCTTTTCACGGTGGCTTAGATTGCAACGTTGAAGAGGTGAGACTATTAATCATTTGCTTCTAATCAATCATTATTCGCGCCTTCACTTGTTTACCAAATTCTTTAAATAATCGTTTGTCCTTTTCTCATTTTTCAAATCGCTTTTCGACATCGTTGGAACAAAAGGTAATAAAACACGAACTTTCGTATGGTCCGCTCGACTTCAATTTCCAGAATAACACGAACCAGGATGAGATGGTGGATCAATTGAATGTTGTAGGTGATACGACGACCCAACCACCCGCACCTGCCTCTCATACCACTCACGGTCAGTATCCAGCAAGGAGTTCACCCTCTTGGGTTCATTAAGGTATTTGAGGAATCTTTTAACCATAAATTTTGTTGAGTTCACCTTTACCAAACTTTCACATTTCTTTGTTGATGAATAATGAAAGTTTAATGCATTTTTTCTATTTTATCACCATTAGAGCTTAATTATTTTCTGATATTTAAAAGAAAACTCCTTACTTTGATTGATTATTGAGTTGATTTTACAATTTTTTCTTTTCTTCTCCATCTCTTCATTGTTTTAGATGGCTGCTAAAGAGAAAAAAACTAATTGCATATAATATAAGTTGAATGTCATCAAAGTTAATCAGACACAAAACAGAATTTTTGTCACAGGGACGAGAAAGACAGAAATTCAGATTTAAAAAAAGTTAAAGTAATTTAGCATCAAAAACTTGCATAATAAAGAAGGAAATGTCACGAAAGGAAGAATTGAAATTGTAGTAAAATATTTTTAATATTTCTTTTTTCGCGAAGTTTATAACCCGAGCGGCTTGTAGTTTGCTTTCAGCTGACTACATGAAGTCTTACATGTCAGGCCTTATACACGACCGCATAGGCACCTTACAGGAAATTTGCAATTGGAAGTTTTCTATAAGGTGACTTTTAAGTTAACTTTTGCGGAATTGCCGCTTGTGCTGCTCGGATAATGGGAGATTGAGGTGATTGTTGGGAAAGTTTTGACCAGGAATAGAATGGTTTTAATTATCTATCTAAATTCAATTAACTTTCTCGACATTTATCCTTCATAAAAACAGAAACAATAAGAAAAAATCTTCCTAATTAAATTTTGTGAGAATTTCCTTTTATTCAATCCTAGATCAAAATTTCGCCATGTTAGCTACCTCCACATGATATTTTTTGTTTTTGTTTTCGCTCGAATAAAATTGTTAGCTTATTAGTTTTAATTTCCGATTTAAATACATCATTAAGTTCGATTGAAAAGGAATTAAATATCTATGTAATGAATAGATGTAAAGAGGATAAAAATGCCAAGCATTAAATGAATCATTTCATACTTTTTGTTTGATCTCAGGATTCGCGTAAAAGAGTTTTATTTTGAAAGATTAAACTACAAGAAATTAAAAGGTGCAAATCATATATAAAAAAATACAAATTGAAATAAATTAGTGTATCGGTTTTATGATGGCGAAAGGATCCATTCCAATTGAAACATGCTTGAATTGTTTTTCTATATCGCACATGAAACTTGTTCAAAATTATAATTAATTGTAAAAAGTGTTCATTTTCAAACCTATTCTCCATTTGAATAAATGATGATTTGGCAATAATAAACTTGGGTCCATAGCTTAAGCTTATTCAACAACAATTGTGTGCTAATATTATTTTTCTCTTTTTTGTTATGAATTATTTCTAGTTTTGTTCTTTTTCTTTGTTAAGTTTTCTTATTAGATAATTTGATTGAAAATAATCTATCAAAACTGTTCTTATAATTGATCACGATATAAGTTGGTTTGTTTAATGTGTCAGTTTGTTACTGTCAAACTCAACAAGAGCGGCTTATGATGAGATGACAGTTTTATTTTTGAGATAAATATCTTTCAAGTAACTTTCTTTGTCAAACATTAAAGTACGTTGAAGGGAAAAGAAACTTTGTGATTTTATTTTTAAAACAGGTTCTTTCTTCGTAACAATTGCTTTAGTTTTCTTTTTTTTTATAAAAGAAGTAAATATATTATTCGAGATTTAAAATACTTTAGAGGAGATGAAAGGAAACATATAAGAACATCTTAAGAAAGCCCCAATGATAACACAGTTGTTAAATTTTAGGCAGTTGATCGTTGTTTAAGATGTATGTTCAAAGTACATAAAGTTTGAATTAAAAGAAAAACCTATTGATACTTGCAATAATTTTAGAAATATAAGGAAGTCATTTACGTAGCAATGCTTGTGCCGGCCAATTAGCGGTGGTGTGCGGGTCATTTAAATTTCAATTAAGCCATTGTAGTCTTCTTGAAATCTCTTTAAAGGCAAACAAAATTTAAATAAAAAAATGTAAATTGTTTGAATAGACATAAGAGTTAAAAACTTAAGATAAATTTTTTTCATTTGTCATTAGATTCCTGATGATAACAGAAAAAAAATTCTTGTGCCACTTGTTAAGTTTGTTCTTAGTTAAGCCTTCTTCGAGATGAAAATCTGTTTGATATTTTAATGGAATTTATTTCTCGATTTCTTACTTTCGATTATTGCATAATTCAGGAATTTACAAAGCGATTACGCTAGAAGAAGATTTCTCGTCCAATAAGTTCAATTATAAAATCAAATAAATAAAACTTTAATTCTGAAAGCAGGATAAGCAGTTGCATATAAAACTTTCATCTGTAAATAGAGAAAAACTCTTTGTAGTAAGTGTCAATGAATGGTAGCGATTAAATGAATAAAGGAATCAATAAAAATAGTTTAGTAAAAGAAAATTTGTTTGTTGTTTATCTCAAATGATTTTTCTTCACTTTTTTCTAGAGATTGTATGGACTTTCTATGCAATTAGATAAAGTAAAGTGGCAAAATATTTTCTTGAGAATTTTTCGTTTTCTTTCAAATTTAAAATCTCCCGAAGGCGACATCTCCCGGAAATTTCAGGAAGCTACTAAACTGAAAGCTCAAATTCTCAAAAGCTCAGGATAATCAACGAGATGTTTGAGTCTCGAAAAGCTTTTATTTTCGTAAGCATCATCGCAACAGTGAGTCGAGAGAAAATTCGTGAGATTTCATTGCATATATTCAGTGGAGAGCCTTTGTCGGATAAAGACCACATTTTCATCAGCTCATCTGAAAACGAAGGAATTTTCATTTTCTGGTTTTGGCCTCAAGTTGTAATCTTAATTTACATATTCGCTCATATTAGAAAATTGATATCGGAGCATCGTAAACTGTTTTAGCTTCGGGTTTTGTGCTTATTTAAATTTACGAGTGAACAAAATAAGGATATAAAGTGGAAAGGAATTTAATTGAAATATCAATACAGAAAGTTTACTTCAGCACTGGATAACTCAATCATCAGATTTCTTAAAAATAAGAGAAAGGATTTCAAAGTTACCAATTTGAAAAATGATTAGTGAGTAATTAGTTGAAAGGGAAGCATAAAGGATAAGAAGTAGATTTATCCGTTTTGACGAGTTAAAAGCTACTGCTTTTTCTATGGAATGTTGATTTGTATTGAGAAACAGAGAGAAGAAAACTAAATACAAATAATTCTGAGCAAAAGGGAGAGAGTAAGAGAGAGGGAAAAGCGAAAATTTTTATAATTCCATTTTCAATATGAATTTTCATTTTCATCCTTCTCCCCTTTTTCTATATATTAAAGTTCAAAGGACTTGAATGCTGCTAAGCTAAGCCAAAATGATTTTGAACAGTCAGAGCCTCTTTCTCGTCGAAAAATATATTTCTTCTATCTTTCCCATGGAAACGAAGTGGAATTTTTCATTTTTTTATCGTTGTATATAGCGCGACGCTTTCATCTTCTTTCTCGTGCTTTCAGCTTTCTTTCTATTTACGGTTGTATGTTGAGAGATGATACGCCGTAATATCCTTACCAAAGAGTAATTTAGAATTTTCAGAAAATTATTTTCGTGCTTCTCATTTTATTATATATTACAACTACTACGCGTCATCAGAGAAAAAGGAAGAAAACCTTCCACAAGGAATTAATTTGAGTCTCATCGAATTCTTCTTCTTGTTGCTTCAAATATTTTTTTTTCTCTTTTTTTTCTTCTCTTCAAGGACAATGTTTTCTTCTTACATTTGTCGTATTTTTCTTTTTCTTCTTCTTCTTCTTATATTTGTATGTTATGTAACGTGTCTGGGGTGAACACGAGATAATCTCACGCGAACTTTTAGAGAAGAGATTCTCTCGAACATATATTAACATTTCATCTGTTATCTTGTTGCTCTATTATACGCTCAATAATTGTTTCAGAAGCGAAACACAAGAAGAAGAAGGAAAAGGAAAAAAATGAATTGATTTCTCAATATGCTTCTAAAGCATCTTTGACTATAAATAAACTCTTGAGAAAATAATTGAGTGATTCAAATGGAATGGCAAGAGAATAAAAAATAAGAATAACTTTAGCAACCAATATTATTTATGAGAATTTATTGACATATTTCTTAAACATTCCTTAGGTGTTTGGTACAATAATAATGAGAATAATCGAGGATGGGTGCGAATTAGTGGTCGATAGTATCCTGCATATCCTCCACTCAGAGGCTTTCGAACAAAGTTCCGTCGAAACTGTAAATCTGAGCTTCAGCAGAAAAACCAGAACCAGCAGCAGCAACAATACACACAAATACATCAACGTACATCAGCACAAAAAGAGTCATTTACAATCAACAATAAAAGCGAATTGTCGTCGCAATTAGTGTCAGAAAATAATTTTGAGCAGCAGCCGAGTATGGGTAAACACGAAATAAAGAGAGGCATCAGTCATCGCTCGTCAGATGCCGGTAAGTTTACATTTTGCAATCGAGTGATGATGAGAGAATGAGGGGGAGAGTTTGTTGTTGATGATGTTGAAATGAAACGACGTGATGATAAATAATAACACTGCGAGAATTTATTTTAAACGAAAATATCGAAGTTATGAATATTACATTAAGTAGAAAGTTATGTTGATGGTGATGAAAGTATAGTTTCTATCACGACGTAAACTGCCTTAATTGAAGCACGAGCTTCCTGTTTCGAGAATCTCATGATGATTTTTTTTGAGAGTTATTTTAGTGGAACTTCTGGGAAGTCCCAAAAAACTCCAAAGTTCGGTTTCATATACAAACAAGCACACTTGAAACATTGTTACCTGGATACCTTGCTAATAAGCTATGAGCTTTGAATGTTTCGTCCATCTTCACATATTATTAAAGTGGATTTTAATGATACGTAAAAACCTACCTAGAATTGAAGTTAATAGTCTGTGACAAAAATTAGCACGGACATTAAAGCGATTTTTAAAAGCTGCTGTAAATATTTCTATGGACAAATTGTGGATTTTTTATTCGTTGACAAAATTTCCCACAATTTATTGATATAAAAAAGTTCTTTGATAAAATAATCAATAATCTAATTTTAGGGTGAAAAAATCTTATTTGCACTCATTTCAAAGCAAATGTTTATTTTTTTATAAAAAAAATGAGATATGGTTTCAATTTACATAAAAGCGAAATCAATTCAATTGATTGAATAATTCAATCATTCAGTATAAATAAATTTGAAGTCACCGTGAGTACTTTTCAACTTCACGAAGAGCCGCAGATTGAAGAGTTGGCGAACATGAATTTTTTCCGAGAAACGAACCATTGCAATTGTGTTTCTCGAAGCACGGTATGCGAACGATATCATCGTAACGTGAGCAACAGTTCACAATAGCTAATACGCAAACTGGAATTGTTTGCGTTTGACTTTGATTGTTTGCACTACGACCGTTTGAATTCGATGGTGTCTGCGCTTCTGATGATATTGGAACTTCTGGCATAATAGAGAAAATTTACATCATTTTCATTTTCTTTTCCTTTTAATGTTGTGAGAATTTCAAATATTTCACCATTGACAACAGCATCCAACATATATAATAACAATTATGTGTATTGATTTACATATAAAAAAACTTAGCACGATAATAATGTAAGCAAGTTAAACTAGATTGGATATTTGTTGTGTTTTTTTGAAAGCTTATGTGCGTGAACGAAATAATGAGTGCGAGTCCCTTGTTAACGTGAATGCTTCATCTGAAAGCTAAATGACGAGATACACAATTAGTAAAATAAAATGCCACAAGACTTGAAGAATGATAAACAAAAGAGCAGTGACTCAGAACAAAGCGAGTTACGGAACTTTAACGAGCTGGTCATGTTTTTCAAACTTCACTGGTTTTTGTGAAATTACGGAATGGAAATCCTCAACAAGGTCATATTTCATGTAGAGCTTCATGGAAAGCTCTCTGACCAACTTTAACAAAATTGAATATGAAAATATTTCAGAAAATTAAGAAGATTAAATTTTGTCTGAAGTTTGATTTCAACCAAATTTAAAAAATCTTTAAAGTATGAATATCGATTGCTAACTAAAATTAAAAATCAGGAAAAACTAGTTGAAGAATAAATGTTTCAGAATAAATGAAATAATTATGAAATATGATTTCACTTTTAAATACGACACAAATGTCAAGGAGAAGAATTTGACATTTGAATGTCGTAGAAAATTTGCATCAATCGACAACCCTACATCACAGCTCGTCAAAAAAATGAGAGTTCTGTTTTTTGTTTCACTGATGTTCTTTTTCTTATCAACTGTATCACCCCAAGCAACTACAAGGATGACATTTTTGTGAGTCGTTGATTTGTTTTTCTCATTTCCTACCTGGTTTCCTGTTCTGACCTCGATTTCGGTTTGGATTATGAGTTTTATTAATTTTCGGTATTTTTAATGGCGCTCGTGTTGTTGCTGGACCTGGGCGGGGACAAGAGAGAAGAGAAAGAAAAAAAAATGCCGATAATTTCATTATTTCTTCAATCAAGTTATTTTTAAAAATTGCCTCTTTCTCACTCACCGTTATCAAAGATCTCCGGGGGCAATTCAATTTCAAGTTCCACATTCTCCTCGGGATTGACGTTACCTTCGATTGAATTTTGATCAACGTATGGACGTTTTGTGGTTACAGGTGGCCTTCTTGGTGGTTGAGGTTGCCAAGCTGTTTACATTTCATGAATGAATCAAGCAAGATTGTTGAACGAGATGAAGAAAGTTTTTGAATGACTCATACTTACGATTGTAGTTTTGAATGCTATTAAATCCCGAACCACCACCACTGTAACTTGGGAAAGTGGACCAAATTCTGTCAGAAGTGTCATCTTCTTCAAATCCTGCAACACGATCAATTATCTCGTTAGGATTTACCGAGGGATTATGTGGTGGATTTGGGTTGCTGTAGCATAAAAAGGGAAAAATTATTTTAAATGCTTTCTCATCGCGACAATCGAATCGTTTAACTCACTTGTTGCCTGGTTTTGAAGGCAAATAGAAGTTGTAAGGCGTGTGAAATTTGCCAGTATTCGCTTGTGGATGCCAAGGATTTAAATTTGCATTACGTTTAAGGACATTATCAGGAATAAAGCGATTTTGAATGGAAGAAGCAGCAGGATAGTCTGGGATGGTTTGAGGGTAAAAATAGTCAATGTTAGGATAAGGTGAATAGTGAATTAAAGGAACGGGAACATAATAAATACTTTGTCTCTTGACACGATCTTGACTTTTCCCACCACTTGTAACATCTCTCTTGAATTTTCGGCTATTTACACGTCTTGCATTCTTGTCACTTTCTTCAGACATTACAGTATCGACAGACTTAACTAATTCATAAGGTGAATCGTCATCGCTTATGTCTTCCGAATCTAATTCATTTGGAAGATAATCGAAGTACTTTTTCTCGAATAGAGCTTGGTTGTAATTGTCTTCATGTGATTGTTGCACGCTCATAATGATTCTTGTAAGGATGTCATCGTAGTCTTTTTCACGTTGATCGTCACGAGCTCGTAGTTTACTTCTTAATTCTTTGGCAGCTTCTTTTGTTATGTATGATTCGGAATTATCTGAAAAGCGTGTGAAAATCTTTTAGAAGTAAATATTTCAAAAAAGGGGTTGGAATGCGTGGGCGTCGAAACAATGCGATAATTAAATCGTTTAATTAAATCTTTTCATTAATGTCACCGAACTAGAAAATCGTTTCGAAATCATTTGCATGACAGCTTTAGTTCTTCCTTTCATGAATCTTGACTTTATCGTTATTTAATTGAATTACTTTAACTCAACACAATCTACACTCGTAAAGACGACAGACAAGAGATTGAATGACAAGTAAATATTCTGCGTGTTATTTGAATTGCGAAGATGAAAAAGCAATGAGAAGTAAGAGGAAGAAGAGAGCAGTCGTCTAACGGAGTATTTTGCATTGCGAGTCAAGTGTGTCGCATGTGCTTTTATTACCTTTTTGTTCGACGTCATTTCCATAAACTAGCAGAACGTATGTCGTCAGAAATATGAATAGCTTAAGAGTCATTTTTCCTGTATATTGTTGACTTTTGTTTAACAAAAACTTCTGTACCTAAAAGAAGAGAAACAAGATCCTTATCAGTAACCGTGAATCGTGATGATGAGTTACTAAATACATATTTATGTAAATACAGATGAACAAACTAAAAATTTGTATGAAACACTTCAGTTCATCAAAATTTTCTGATGATTCAAATAATTGCGCAATGATAAGTTTAAATGATTAAATAAAAGTTAAAAGAAAATCCGTCAATGACTCATAAAAGCATTCACAGGATATTATTCATCACAAAATAAATACGTGCATGCTTCACATTATTAAATATATTTTATTTGCTTTATGAACAATAAATATTTCATGTTCAACCATAATCATCTCACATTTAATTTTAATACTTAAACAGTTGCTTAAGATAATTTCATTTAAAATCATTGTACGCATGTCAAAGATAAAATAATTTGTTTCCCATGACAATCTTTAAAAGTTTTTAATATTTTCTTTTCAAGTTCATGGAATGGGGAAAAGAAACTTTTAATAATTATATTTACCCCGAAATTTTGTCACTAAAATCTAACAATCTCATTTAATCGACAGCGTTTTTTTAATACTTTTTACCAAGTCGCGCTTCAGTATCAGTACAAACAACCAATGTAATAATCGTCATAATAAACTTAATGATATCAAATTTGAGCGAAGTTTAATGATGTGCATTTAAGGGAGGTAAAAAACTGTGAGAAGTTAAACTTCACGCGATCAAGCCTTTCGCGATGATATCACTTTGAGTCGTGAACAAATACACCAGTGCTTGAAGTACGTTCAATTCCCGCATGAAAAACTTTTTCTGATGCTAATTTTGTTGAATGGAAATCCCGTAGACACATTTTTGTAGTTTTAACTGCTCAAAAGCGTGCTTGGTTGAGCAATGTTTCAGTTTAGTTAGTCAGGGAGATATCAGATTGTTTCAGTTTAGATAATAAGTAATGTGAGAGTTTTCAGTTTACTCAACTTTTCTCATCTTCCTAGTCAGCATTAAATTAATTAATTTTTTTTATGACATCAATTAAAATTAATTCTGATACACTTTTTATTACAAATTTATGAGTATGTTGCTGAAATCTTGGCTAAAATTTTACTGGAAGTTTCAATCTTAACTACAATTTAATGGAAATGTGTTTGCTTAATTAAAGTATCTGACCCGTGCCGTAAAATGATATTGCATTAACATTTCACGGTTAACGACAATGATTTTTATTCACAAATATGCGAAATAAATTCACGAACGTTTATCGTGATCTGTAACAAAACACAATAAATGAGAGGAAAGAACTTTTTTGTTTAAAGGCCGTAATGTTCATTGTCTTGTTAGTAGTTGGTGCGGTATTCAAGGCTCTTCAAAATAATGTACTTTATATAAGCCCATCGTCATCTCAATTCCCCCTCGTGAAAGATAAAAAAAAATAAATATTTGAGTCTTCTCTTAACAAGACACAATTGCACTACAAGAAGAACAATAAGATGGGAAGACAAGCAAAACGCTTTTATAACAATTCAAATTTAGCTCACGATATTAATTAATTGAATATCAATTTAGAAGATTGATTGTTGCTGATGGCTGGCACATTGATAAAAATGAAGAGAATTTTTGACAAGTTGAATGCTTCGATTAAAGATTTATTGATTTTTCCACTGAACTTCATCAAATCTTTGATCAAATCAACTTCCAATCAACGCAGAAATATAAAATTCGTGACTGTTTGAAATTATTGCTTTTTATACATCCGCGAATAGGCCATCTGTATTTGATGTCACGTTTACTCCACGACCTTTAACATAATAAACCTTCACGTATAGAAATAGAGAAGTTACAAATATCATAAATACAACATCATGTGACTTATGTGTATTCACATAGATGTGTTCACCAGCAGTCGATCGATCAAATGAAAAAGTTTACCGCAAAAATTTAAATTTCAATTTTATGAAAGAAGTTTGTGGGAAAATAAAAACGATTTCCATTAATTAAAATGAAAGGAAGAGAAGTGTCGAAAAGAAAGTTAAAGTTATGCTTCGAGTCATCAGTAAAAAACCGCACGTGCGCTTATGGAAGAGAAATTCTACAAAACTTTGTCTCGAAGCGAAATGAAATGAAAGAACGCAAATGACTGTTTGATGGAAACAATGTGAGCTTCTGATGCTGAGATAAGAATGTTTTGGTGACGTTCTATTTATGCAAATAGCTGATTAAATCTATCTGTGATCTCATTCATTCTCTTGCATACGTTTTATTCGAAAAAAAGTTGAATTTCGGAAGATTTGCAGGGTTCACAGTCCAATGCCAAAAGCGGAACACATATTGAACCGGAAAAAGCAATTAGAATTGTTTACTTTGTGGTCAACAAACTATTATAGGAGACACAAAAATGTTTGGTTTTGCCAGCGGCAGCTGATTGTTTTATCAGAATATTGCTTGAATCTTCCAAATCTTCTTCAAAGAAAGAAAAAAAAAAGTTTTTTTCTGGACATTCCCAATGTTAATTAAAATTGTAAATATTCCGTGTTCTAGTCAGCCCACGATAAATGATTATTTTCCGAACATAATCAAAATGTTTAGTCTAACTCGATTGGAGCGAAATTCAGTAATAAAACAAGTTAATCATTCAGACCCGAAAGAAGAGAAAAAAAAAAAAGCGATCCGATGCCTTGAGGATTAATTAAACCAAAATCTTCTCTTTGCAGAAAGCGGAGCTGAGAGAAAGAGCGAGTTTAGGTCGTTTGCCTCATCAAGAATTTAAATTCTTGTCACATCTCTAAGCAGGCAAAAACTAAATACTATTAACCTTCTCAGCAACGGAACGGAACGAGTCCTTGAGAGACTGTGAACATATGATTAAGACAAAGATAATTTGTATTCTTTCTTCAGCATCGATGTCCCGCATTTACATCATAATCCGTGCGGGTTTCTTTTGTAGTTTTAATAGTCGAGTAGTGGAAGTAAAATAAAACTGTTTAAATTACGGTTGAATAAACATTGGGAAGCTGTGCGAGGGGTGATGATAACAAATCCACCGTGTTATGCGCAATTGCACAAATATCGACTTTAAATGTCATGTTAAAAACTTTTCATCATTCAAACATCCAAATTACCTCAATAAATTGATTAAACAACAAATTATATCTTATTTGTCACAGCACATTAAATTACCAAAGAAGGCAATCAAATTTTAATCAACGGTTGAACCCGCACCGTAAAAAGAACTTTTCTTCTAAAATACTTTTACTTGTTGAAAAGAAGCAGAAATGTTTATGCAAATTCAATTAATTTTTTGTATATATTTTTTTTTGTATTTTTCTCGTTTTTCTTCCCGAAATATTTCGTGTGTCTGATCGCGACGAGTGTCTGAAGTTTACTGTCTAATGAAACTGCAAAGCTAAAGAAGAAAAACGAATATAAAAACCTTGCGTCTGAAGCGCTTTAAACAAGCATGTGAAACAAGCACACACATTACTCGCTTGTTTTTCTATATCAATGTATAGCTTTAAAAATTTAAAACTCAAAGAATCATTTTGTTGAGCGCTTTAAAGAGACATCGAACTGCATGTATTGGTTACTTTCAGCAACAATCGGTGATCAAGCGCCAACATTGACACTTCGCTGTTTCCATGCTGCTCGATTTTCCTCTTCGTGGCATTTTTTTGAATATCTACGTATTTGTGGGAACAATAAAACAATTTAGAAAAATAACATAAACAAAGTGTTGCTTTCATCGTATAAAAATTTTCGTTTGGGGGGCTGTTTGGCTGGTTAAGATGAAGTGATGAGAGAAAGAGAGTTAGGAGACGCATGAGGTCAGGCTTGGAATATAAATCGTTTTTAAATTTGTGCACATAAGAAGTCGGTCTATTTATTTGTGCTTTTATGGAGAAGAATTGGAGAAGATTTCTTCACGCATATATACGAAACGAATGTGTATTATGATGGTTCCAACTCGGATATATGTTTTATTTTAATTCACTTTTACGGTCAAACATTCCTCAACATTGCATAGGGACGGGAAGGAAAATAAAAAAGTTTTTTCCTTTCTTTCTCTTTTTCACTTTCAAGAAGAAAACTTCGCAAGTGCAGAATGGAGTGAGAAACAAAAACATTCTGTTCACCATCAGCAGGCATAATTCGAAACAAATTTGCAGCAACTTGTTCTTGTATGTTGCTTTCTCTTTTATTTTCGAGTAATTACCAGGCTCGAGAATGTTTTTCGTCAGCTGTCACAAAATTCAGGATCGATTAGTCGAACAGGAGAAAAAAAAGTCACTTCATCTAAAAGCAATTATTAAATTTTTTATAGCGACATGTTGATAATTGTTACATAGCAAGTATATCAATGATGCAACCGGAAAGATTAATCGATTGTCATTACATTTAATATTTGAACAATTGAAGTCACTTTTGTGTTCATGCTTGTAAGTTTATTATTTTCTATTGTTTATTGTTCAAGGTTGAGTATCAATTTAATAATTAGAAGCAGATTGATCCGACTCAACAATTATTCCACTGAGAGAAGCAGAAAATTAAATAAAATTTATTTTACTTTACTTAAAGTATTTGATCGAATCAATGACTCAGAAGAATTCAATTCAATTTAAATTGAGGAATTTATGAATAGTTTGAGAATGAAAATCTCAAATTCTATCGTTCCATTAGCACCAACTTCCATTCGGTTATTATTACATGAAAAGAGTTCATCAACAAGCTCATCCAACACATATGTCCGTAAATAAATATTTACTCTTCATTTTGCAAAAAAAAAGTTTAAAAAAAAATCTAAATCGAACGATTTAAAGATGAATCCGCTAAACTGATATAAAACAGATGGTTTAACGATTATTTTTGCAATAAAAAGAAGAGAAGAGGATGAAAAAAAATTGAGCTGATACATGACAGCTATCAAGAAGCACTGACACATCATTCATTCATCTCTTCCATGATTTTCTTTTTCTTTTACCACCTACGCTTTCAAATACAGGCGGTTCGAGTAATCTAATGGGAAAATTCACACAAAGTGTTCGTCGGATAGTGCAAGATGTCAAGGACGAGGGCACAATGAGCGGATTAAGTCGTGAGGAAGTTATTGAGATTAACGAAAGACTGATACTTTTTCGATTTCGTCTCGAGATGTCTTACGAGACAGCCAAGCAGGCTCTTAACTCATTAATGTCTAAATACGGTGACTCGAAGAGCCAACGTAATATTTTTCATCGCTATCCGTTGTTGAAGATTATGATAAAGGTAAGACGCTAAGCATCAAGCATCACCAAAAAATGATCTCATTCATATTTATTTACTTCATTATGATCTCTTAAAAGTCTCTTATACATCCACTTTTTAAATCCGTACCATTAGGAAGTCATTAAACTAGAAACTCAATATTGGACACTTGTGGAAATCCCGAAACAAGAAAAACAAGAAACAGTTCCAGCATTCGTGATGCGAGCATGTACAATCATGGAAAAGACTCAGAAGTCCGAAGTAAAGACACCACAGAAACTTTCAGAGGAGGCTGCCGAAAAGAAAGATCGCCTTGAGCGTTTGGATCCTATGACAACGTCCCAAATAGAGCACGAGAATACACAAATGATAAACGACTTGTATCGCCTACTCAAGAAATACCAGGGCTTAAGAAACTTAATCAGGGAATTAAAAGTAAGTCAGTAATTGACACAGTTGGTGTTGGATTAAGTTATACATAGTTAAGTATATGAACAAAAAATATTCTTTCATTTCTTCCGCTATTCTACAACATAGTCTGAGTACAGCAGCAGCAAGATATATCCAATATTCCCACGTTACACGATGCTTAAAGACATGATAAAAGATGTCATGCACGATCCAAGGTAAGTTTATTTCCCCACTCGAGGCTAATCTAGACACAAAAATTAACTTTAATAATCCTTCCTTCAAATGCCATGTGAGTATCTCACTTTGGCTTTGTGAATCCCCTAAATAACAACAACAACGTTGACGTACTTGTAATTAGTCAAACGTGTGAATTATCATGGAACGATGCAAGCAAACTCTTAAATTTTATTTACATTTCTTCTCTATTATTTACAGTTACATGGATGTCAGATATGAAGGCTCTAACGTTGAGGGATCTCGCACTGATAACGACTAATTTACACCAAAACTTTAGTCATAATCGACAAAACAACCCCTCGATGCATATAAAGCTTTATTTAAATTTATGACCCAGAAAAAAAAAACAAAAAAAAAGAAAGAGAGAAAAAAAATCATTTGAACACTTACCAAAATTTGTTTCGTGTTCTATCCATAAATGTAACCTTCGTACAAAAAAAAAAGAAAAAGAAGGAGAAGAACCTCCGGTCGATGTCATTTCATTGAGTTTCTTTAGGGTTTGTTACAACAACACATTTGGTACCAAATATTTGTACGTTTCACGGCAAACACTTTCGATTATGTTTATGAAGTTGAGCAGGGAATTCGTTAAAAAGGGACACGAGTGAATATATCCTGTTTGATTTAATGATAAACATAACACGATGATTCTGTACCGTTCTTGTGCTTTGAAAGCTCTCTGACTTTATTTATTGTTGATCTCTATTTAAAAAACTCTAGATAGATTACGTTCTACGCGGTAGTAGCATTTTTACCATACAATACATAGATAAACAATTTCGATAAGATTAATCACTGTGTTCAGACTTTTTCATAAATCGATGATGAACCACAATAGAAAAAAAAGGAAATAGAAGAAGAAAGAAAAAGTTATCTAAAGAAACAAATTGATGTACGCAAATTTGCTGTCTGTGCTTTTCCGCCTCCCATTTTTCCTTCAATCTCGTAAAGAAAACCAAAAAATAAAATAAAATAAAATCGAAACATCTTAAACATTCACATGGAACTTTTGCAAGCTTTTTGTCTTGAATTATTCATCACCACAACTCACATTGATTCATTGTATGTAATATCTAAGCTAAGCCAAAAAAAAAGGGAAAGAAAGAATTAAGAGCTTAAAATATCCGCTAGTTAATGTCTAATGACTGTTTAAAAAATATTAGAATGAAAAGAAGATTAGATTATTCAAATCGACACAGTAAGGCAGTAAAGATAAATATTTAAGGTGGATGGAGAGATTTATAATTTATAAGTATAAACATTTCAATTTCCACAGAGGATTTATCTTTAAAATTCAACTTCTATTGAATTCTTCTATGTAATTTAATATTTATTATTCTATTTCAAGATGAAGGTAATTTAAGGAAAGAAAGCAAATACTGCTATGAGTATCTAAACATTATATTTTGATATTATTCATAGTGCATAAAATTCGACATTAAAAAATATTTATACAATCACGAAGAATTTTTTATGTTAATGCTATTATTATTATGTCATGAAAGGTTGAAAACATATTTTGTGTTGAAAGGAAGGAAGAAAATTCTTATTGTATCCAAGTTTAATGCATGGGATGGGATGTCAAACTTTGGATGTTCAGCATTTTATCGACTTTAGTACAATTTACAAGAAGACGACCAGCTTGCTAAACTTTTTATTATGATTTCTTTCCTTACTTTTTCACTTGCTTCGTTTTCCTTCCATGGAACGTGATATATTATTGACATCTCATGCAGATGTTTTGTTAATAATAAACCTGACAAAACTCGTCTTTGCATCGTCGAAAATGAAGAAGAAATCCTCGATGATTTTCAAATAAATCGTGAAATGAAATATCCTAAGAAATAAACAATAAATTACATAATTTGAATTTCCCTTAAGTTAAATCGAATTTCAAAATAAAAAAAATAAATATTATAAAATAAGTATAAATTATTCATCTGAACTTCATTTAAAAATCAGAAAAGAAAGTATGGGAACAAATTACACACTTAAAAGCACTAAATATTTATCACATTAACTTTTCGTCCAAACACATTAAATGGGGAAAAACTCATTCATGATTAAAAGGAAAACTTTAACAAAACAAGACTCAAGTATTTTACAAAAAAGCAAAGAAACTATTTTCCCTCCGACAATCTTTACCTATCTCTAAATATCTACATAAGTTTAAAATTCCAAAATTAGTTTTCCTCTAGATTATATTTATCGTGCGTAACTACATATTTACTGAGTTAACATATATATATCTATAATATTTTTTTGATAACATGATGAAAAAATAACATAACATTAAATGGAAGAAAGAAGAAAAATCTTTAATTTCGAGCTTAAGAATTTAAAAGGGAACAGAACATGATGATGATGATGATGATGATGATAAAAGACGATATAAAATAACATTTTTTTTCGGACAGTAATTTTTGACTTTAGTTCAATATAAGAAACAAATAAGTCTAGCAAGAAAATGAAAGAAGAGATTAGAAAAGAAATAAAAAAAACTCCTAGAAGATATCCACCCAAATAAATGTCTATGAATATATATCAGAGTTGATGTCTCTAAAATAAATATATAACACGCTTTGAGTAAAAAGAACTTGAAAGTGACATAAATATTTCATCACGCGACTCAACATGAGAAAAGAAGCGAACGAACCGCTTTTAGATTCAACCAAAAAGAATAAAGTTGAGCTCTTTTTTTATATTTTACTCCTTGTGTTATGTATATATTTTATATTGACAGCAATCTCGTTATAGAAATTAAATATTAATAAGTGTTTATGTAGGATGAAATAAAAGACGTTAAGTCATCTCGACAAAAAAAAGGATAAAAATACAAGAAATCACATGATCAAAGCTTTAGAAGTCAAAGATGAAGAGTAAGAGTAACTTTAAGTAATGAAATAATTCAACCCACCACCCCAAATTCCCTCATCCTTGTAGCATTTGCTAAAAGCTTCCGAAGCTTAAAAAGCTATTTCAAACCCGTCGTTTAAGATGAAAAAATGCATTGCGATGATAAATAATATTAATCAGACTAATGAGCATTAAGAGTGCATCACTTTATACATGAAGAGTATTAAAAAAATTTAAAAGAAAAGAAAAATTGTTTGTTACAATCTGTTGCATTTAACTGAAGAAGAGAAGTATCATAATAAAGTAAAAAGTATCTGAGAAGTAAATAAATAATGAATGAGAATGTTTACTACCACTTGAACAAGGATTGTCTGGAAAGATTGATGTTACTTAATATGAAACAAGATTGAAAACATGAAAAGGTGATTTAATTTCTTCCATTTACAGTAGTGGTAAGTGTCATGATAACACTCATGATTTTATTATGATATTAACTATCAACAATTAATTAGTAAGATTAAGAGTGCTGATGAGAAAATTAAATATTGAATGCATAAAAAAAAGATTTGAAATGAAATTAATTTATTTTTCTCTCTGTTTGAGTTTGTTTTGATGTTGAATTTCATTGTTGAGTGAATTGAGTTTGAGATAGTTTTTACGGTATTTGCCTAATTTATCTTTGGAATAAGAGAGACGGAAATGAATATTAGAAAAGTCTTGATAGAGAAGCACCAACGAAGAGTCTTCAATGTTCTTCAATTTCCATGGCTAGCAATAAATTTCTTTCGTCGTCATTTTCACTATGGTTGATTTGTTGTCTGTAATGTAACTAAATAAATCAATAACAACATTTTTCTTTTAATTTATCGTGGAAAATCTTTTCAACACGTTTCGAATGTTTATTCTTGAAATTGATTCTGTTCGGTTGACATAAAAAGAAAAATAAAGTTTTTGATTCATCTGTAAATGCTGTAAAATGCTGAAAGTTAGATGCAAGAGGTATTTTGAATATTTTAAACAGAATTCAATTAAAATCGCGTTGAAAAGATAATTAAGAGACTAATTTAACAGCACTGCTTGCATTTGCTCTCTCTAATTATTTTTTGGAGGATTTGCGAGATCGTAGATAAGCTCAACACCCATTCCAATGCCAACCAAGCAGAGAACTGTGGTGATTCCTAGCAAAACTCTGTCCATAGTGCCACCTTTCAAATGTACTGGTAATCCATCGGGTTTCTAAAAGAGAATTAAAAATGATGCCTGAAATAATTTTCAGTGAATTGATGCACTAACCTGGAACTGTTCCTGGATAAGTTTGATTTTTTTATAGCCAGGGTGAACGGAATCTTCATTTCGGATTGCAGTGCGTGAGAATTGGCGAACTGATGCCATCAATCGAACTGAATTCTAGAAGATAACAATAAAATATATTTTTTCGATAAATACAATTATGCAACCTATTAACGTCGAAAAATAATTAAATATGAAATCCTTCGATAGAATTAGTTTTGATTAAGGTGTAATCAACTACTTTCAAGAGAAATTAGGTAAAATGGAGAGAATTACCAACCTTCAACGCTGACATTATTGATTTTAATATTTTTTATTCAAGTTCTGTTTTGAAAAAAAAAATTTTTTACAGCCCTCAATTGTAGTACTTTGACACCCCTTATAGCACTAACACAATTACAAAAACATAAAATTTATGTAGTTACAGTTCCCGCAATATAAAAAATAAACATTGGGAATAAAAAAGTCTCAAAATAATTAATTAAAGATAAAATTTAATAATCTTCTTTAGTAAATATGGGATTTCTCACAGTGCTTAAAAAAATGCGACAGAAAGAAAAGGAAATGAGAATTTTATTACTGTAAGATTCATAAATCCAAATTCATTTGTTTACGGTTGGTAATTGGTTAATGTTTTATCACACACAGCGGACTTGATAATGCGGGCAAGACAACAATTCTCAAGCGATTCAATGGCGAACCTATTGATACAATTTCACCAACTTTAGGATTTAACATTAAAACATTAGAGCATAAAGGTGAAAAACAAAATTTATATTGTGATGAATCATCGATAATTTTAGCATGTTTTTGTTTCGCAATTTTCCGACGATAATTAATTCATTCGATGTTTAACTAATACTGTAATAGGTTATACATTAAATCTATGGGATGTAGGTGGACAGAAATCTCTTCGCTCATATTGGAGAAATTATTTTGAAAGCACTGATGGTTTAGTGTGGGTGGTAGATTCAGCTGACCGCATGAGACTTGATGCGTGTCGTGAAGAACTCAATATTCTCCTTCTTGAAGAGAGATTAGCCGGAGCCACGCTTTTGGTATTAGCAAATAAGCAAGATCTACCGGGCGCTCTCTCAGCTCAAGAAATTAAAGATGTAAGTCAATTCATCTTGATCGTTTATTATCAAAAGAAAAAGATGTGTAGAAACGATAATTAATCATAAAAAAGTCATTTTTTTAAAGTCATCAACTGTTTCTATTTGTCATTCAACAGATTCTCGAACTTGACAAGATCACAACTCATCACTGGTCGGTTGTGGGCGTCAGTGCCGTTACGGGTGATAAATTATTGAATGCCGTGGATTGGTTAATTGGTGATATCGCGAAACGTATCTTCACATTAGATTAAATTCAAATCTTTCGTGAAGATAAATTGTTCACGACACGTTTTTGTCACATTTCATTTTTATATTTTTTATAAATAAGCACGCAGCTACCGACGGTGTGGCACATCACAATGAATCTAATAGCATTACATTATTTAAAAACATTTTCTATCAAATTAAAAGAATAAAATGATTCAAAAGTGCGATCTATGAATTTTCTTCTTTCTGTGATTTTTTCTGCGTTGAGCTTGATAAATAATAAAAGAAAAATTTCTTTAATTAAAAGTTTCTAATGCTTACTTTTCAGAAGAATTAAAAAAAACGAGCAAATAAAAGACTGAAAATTTTGATGACATCTCGACTTGCTTCGAACTGCTTAATTTAAGATTTCACTGATGCATAATTTCAATTAAATGAAACTCCCAAACCGTGAAATGGGAAACATTGGTAATGACGTATCGGAGGTTATTTAAGAAAAGTAAGGTTGATGGTTGTACGGTGAAGTCAAACGTGAATTTCTTTATTAAAGGTTGTGAAGACAAAAATGATGAAACTCAAGCAATGAAGACTATCATGAGATATTTTGGTAATTTCAACAAATTTTAACAGAAAAACGAAATGTTTTGTAAAGAAGTAAAATTTAAATATACAAAGTAATGTACATTCATTTGCTCATACATAATTCTTGATATCTCGAAACAGAAAACATTTAAAAAAATAACTTTAAATTTAATTATAAATTGTAGACAGTTTCTGAGATCTTTGAGTAATTTTTCTTCAAATTTTAAGTATTAACACATTTATGCTATGAATATATCTACTTGTATTAAAATAGACAAACTATTGAATCGGATGGCTTTTAAGTTCTCTTTTAATTATCCGCCAACATCAATCCATTAAATCGAAATCAAGCGTTTCACATTTTGTACAACAGCAAAAACTCCATAAAATCTTTCCATCGAGTCTTTCCGAGAATTGGCAAAATTAATGAATGGCTTCTTGTTTCGAATTGTCTTTTGTCACTTGCCGAAAAATTTTGGACTTATTTTAGCATCACATTTTGACAGATCGAACATGTGTTGCTGAGACGATTAGAAGAATTTAAAACTTTGAGTTTATTTGTCGATGGTGATCAAAGCTAGTTGTGTACAACGATGATTAAATGCAATCGTTAAAAGTATTTTGAATAAATCAACCCTTTCGGTGCAGATTATAAACTCAAATTCCCATGAATCTGTCACATTAACTTTTTTATGTGCGCACCAAACATCATGACTTTCTGCCTTGCCTGGTGGTGTAACATAATTCGAATCATATGTTCGCCCTTCGAATACGAAATACAGCGATGCAACCATGGAAGCAAGGATGATTTAAAGTTACGATAATTTGTAAAGCAAATACGAGAAATTAATGAAATGTGATACGCTAAGCGACGATTTTGTTTCTGTTCATCACCGCGAAACTCAAATATGGTCTTTATTAAGTCGAAAGATGACAAAATATTTGTGACGTTTAAGGGAAATGCTCTCAAAATATTCATTTAAAGCGCATCATCAAACAACGAATGTCATAAAAAAAAAGGATTTAATGATATGCTTTCCCAGAAGACGAATATGATGAGCATTGAAACATTGTGTGACATCTGAAAATAAATCGAAAGTGGTTGACAGGATTTACGGTGGGTTGCTAATTAAATGGCTGTAAGGAAGTTCATGTTTATCTTAAAAATGAAAACATAAAAAGGTTTTCAGAATAAATTTAAAACATTCTAATACAAATTTACTTTTATTTTTGTTTCAAATGCTTCTAAAATAATTTATAAAATATTATTTGAAATGAAAACATCTTTCGATGCAATACCACTTTCTTGTTATTTCTTTGAAGAATATTTCTCTTCTTTCATATTTTCGTTTCTCAAATCCGAAACCAGAATCAGAATAACAAATGAATGAAAATACCTAATTTTGTCTTTCACGCAAAGTAAATGCCATGCATAAAAATTTTCCGCATTCACCACAGCGAAAAAGTTTTCATCACCATCGCGCTTAGCTTCACTCCGCCGAAAAGAAGAAAAAAAAATCAATTCAATCGAGCGTTAATCCAATCATAAAACGAAACATCGTCATTCTTAATGAAATGTGAAATCAGCAATCGCTGATGCTAATTGATCCATGCTTATGTGATCTCGTGCGCTAAAACACCTTTTCGCTATCTTCCATTTTTATTGTTTCCGCCTCTGCCACTTCTCAAATTTCTACTGACAAAAATAAATCTTCAAAGCTCCGCCCAGATGTACGATCAGAGATAAAAGAGAAAACATTTGTTGTTGGATAAACGATCAACCACATGAAGATCGTCACTCGTCAGCCCTGAGTTTTTTTGGTTCACAAAACGAATAAATTTTTACTTGTGTAACTATGCGACTGTGTGGGTCTCAACGTTGCTTTTGAATGGCTCAAAATCAGCTTCTTTTCGTCTCGTCTTATGTCGTTAATTACAATATCACATATCGCTCTCTCACAACGATCTTTGACTGTACGAGTCGTGAAAGGCGAGTCTCAGTTTTGTTTGGGCATCACAACGCGTTACACTGAAAATAACTTCTTATTTGAAACAAAAATAAAAGTCAAGTCAACGTTATCGATAATAGAACATTAAAACACTTTAGTGCAGCAATATAACTTTTAATGCGGCGTGGATAATTTAAAGTTTTAATTAAAAACAGAAAGAAAAGATTAAATTCAAATTCTATGAACGTGATTACAAAACTTTAAATTTTCTCATTGTACCTTAACCGTGTGAAATAAATGAAAACAACATTACTAATTTGATGTTTAATAATAGCCAACCAATCGTATCAAATCAGATTTAATTATTTCTTTGGAAGTCTGAAACTTTGCATTGCGACACAATTCGCAGAAGATTGCGTCGAACGCCTACAATCTGTTGAAACCGTTTTAAAAAACTGAAGTCATTATTTAAGTGAAATTGTTTTAAATAATTGCAATCAAGTGTCACTAATGTTGATGTGACAACCGAGTTCAATCAGTGATTTTTATTGTTGTTATTTTCGTTTTCATCGAAGAAACATTGTAAATTTTTTGTTGTGTAAAATTAACCGATCAAAAATAACTTGAAGTGCCTTCTAAAGAATTTGGAATAATCAACAAGCATGGATCCTTCAGGTAATTAGCAATGATGATGCATAATTTATACTTGCAAAGATAAGACTCATACATGATCATTAAAATTTCATGGATCATTTATGAAAGTTCAGATGCATCATCGCAACGCAATCATCACATTAGAACGGTCGTGCTATCGCTAGAATTGTTTATGTTAAAAGTCATGAATGATTGATAAAAAGTTTGCAAAATTCTCCTGATCTTGAATTTTTTTCCAATAATTTTCTATTCAATGTTTCAACTGAACAGTTGGTTAGAAATTAATTTTCATCTTTTTTCATTGTCTTTAATATGAAATGAGAAAAAATTACTTCCGTTTTTTGTTTAAAATCAGTTGCTCGACATTCCTTCCAATAAATAAAATCACAAATTGAACAGTGAAGTAATTTTAGGAGTTGTTGATTTTCTGAATGATCTTCATAAATTATAAAATGAAAATTTACAATAGCAACGAGTGAAATTTATGTTGAAACATGTGAACGATAATTTTTCACTGAAGAAAATATCAATTTGAATACTGTCAAGTCTCTTCGGTGTCATTTATCAAGAAATCTTTGAAAATTCCGATGTTAATAAATAAAAATTTTCTATCGCTTGCAGAGAATCGTCAGATTTTCATTCATTGACTCATAAAACATTAAAATCGAAGTTTTTAAGAATGAAAAGAGTTCATACATTGAATGACCACCAGAAACGATTTTTTATTGCTGTTTGTCTAATTATTTAAACACGAGCCACACAAGAAAAAAAGTGGACTAATGATCAAACAAAAGCCTTTCATGTGATAATTTTTCTCGTTGCGTTCCATTCGAATTCATTCGAGATAAAACTATTCGTCGAGTTTAAATAAAAAATTCTTCAAATATCGCACATCTTGTGAATTAAAAGCTGATATTGGACTATGTAGAAGCACACGCTAAACTTATCATTCAAATTCTACTCTTCACATAGTTCCCTATTTCGTGTTTCTTAATGGAACTTCACAAACCGTCAGCAAACTTCAGTAGAAGTGCAAATAAATTTAACATGAAAAATCTGAATGATTAACCAAACCATAATATTTAATATTTAAGTCTGTTTACACCATTATCTCTGTTTGAGACGTCCCGTTGTCTTATTTCATTAATGAAGGCAAAATAAAATAAAAGCACAGATTTCACCACAATACTCAAACTCTTCTGCTGCCTTCTTCTGTTATATGGAGCCGACAAACAACATTTTCTTTAAATTTTTTCCTTCTGTTTCGAGGAGTAAGAAACAAAAAAAATATCAAAGTAATGTGTGCACAAATATTAATATTTTAATGGTGTTTCTCTCGAACAAAAGAGGAAGAAGAAGCAAACGAAGGCAAAAAGGCCTCCGAAGAAAATATGAATTTTTCGTTGTTCTGATGATGATAATTGGCTGTGAGTTGTTTTTTTTTTTTTTTTGGCTTAAAAGCCTCAACTCTGCTGTTGTTTGTAGCATCACCGGCACACCAGACAAATGTGAATATGAACAAAGATTAGAAAACCGGTAGCAAAGTACACTCAAAAATTTGTTTGTTTTAAATTTATTTAATCAATAGTTTACCATTTACACTTTACACGCAACTATCAAGAAAGAGAGAACGAGCTATAAATATGAATAAAAATCTACTACGGCTTTGAACGATTTGATTTCCATTAGCTGTGAGTATTTGATGATGGTTCAGACAATTGCACAATCAAGATCAAGTTGAACCGATGAGATCAAAATTGACTTTATATCGTCATCTCAACTTGAGATGTGATTTTTTAAGATTAAGTTGATATCATCACATCATTTTAATGCATTACAAACTTCAATGATTAGTTGAATATTTCCCTGAAAAATAATTTGTATAACAAACAATCTCGTTGCGCATATTAAATCATTTCATTTTTTTTTCGTCGATTGTCTTGACGAGAAGTAGAACACAAAAAAAATTATCAACACGAAAAATATTTAAATGTAGCGATAAATGGGTTACGGGTCAAGATTTGATGGTTCGGAAGAGCCGCGCTAGAGCAAACGAGACGAGAAGTTTCAATCGTTATCATTTCATGGTTTCATGGATGCTTAATAAATTCATTTAGATGATTTGTATGTGAGAATATTATTTCGCCCTGAACCGAACGATGATTTCAGATTATTTATTCACTTAAAACGTTCTCAACCTGGTTTAGCACATTAAGAAAACTAAAACGTGCACATCATCCTTCGGAAAAGGATCTTAAACAAAGCATAAAGTCATTAGTCGGGCTACAAATCTTTTATTTCCTTCTTCTATTCTCTTCTCCCTTTTCAACATAAATAAATTATTTAGCGACGACTCCATAAATATTTGATTTGAAGCACCATATTAACATCATCAACGGATCATGCTAAATGCATTTTTATGTTTGTACAAATAATATTTGAATGCCTTTAGATGCCTTTGCGGAGCGTAGAAAGAAAGGTTGAATTGTAAAATAAATAAAGTTCTTCAAATAGGCTACTGCTTTTCTCTCCATCGTTTCATGTCGCACCGCCACTTTTGTAACTTCAACTTTTATTTTGTCTTTTCAATGCCTTTTAACGCATTATCAGTTCTCCAGTTTCATGCGTAATGTTTGACTTTTAAATTCATAACAGATGAGAGAATCTTTTTTCTACTGTTAAACTTTAGGAAGCTTTTTTCTAACTTTTTTTGAGTGTAACTTGATAATCATCCAACAAATCACTCAATTTTCTCTCACTGAATATTAATTTTGGAGTTGAAAATCAATACAATTCATGTTCAGTCCTTTGTCTCCTATAATGGAACAAGTTAGCGGTGGTTAAAAATGGCAGACAAAAGCCCTTCTAATGTGAAAATTAAACAAGTTAATTTTATTCCTCAAAGGTCTAACATGACATCATTCTCATTAATTAACTTAAGAATTCAAAGTTTAGTTACCAACACAAAACTCAAAAATATTTTAATCTAAAATAAATTATTAAAATGATGCTTTCATATTTGGAATGAATTCCTAAAAATAATTTACGCTTCCTGATAACCTTTCGGTACACACGAAAAGAATTTGGAATCGTTTTAAATTCCGCTATCAAAAATAAAACATTTGTTAATGTTTATTATTTTCAAGAAACCCGGTTATTGGCGATCTTTTCCTTTTTGCAGTTATTGTTTGTGGATTGTCCTTTAGTCGAATAAATGAAGACGATTTTCAATCAAATGGCGCTACTTTTGCAGCTCAATCACTAAGCACTGCATTCTTATCTTAATCAAAATTTGCCTTCATGAATTTCTCAGAACATAAAGAGAGATTTAAATGTTGTAATTAATTTGATCTTTTTGTCAGCTACTAATTAAGATTTCATGCATTGCGATATGCAAAATAATTTTCCATGAATGGCTTCATCTCATCAGTGATTCAAAAACATTTTTCTCGGAAAAAAGAATTATTTCTGAACTTTAAATTTAAAATTTGACAGACTTAAAGCCAAAAGCTTAACCTCGACGATTAACCCCACCACGGTGAAAAATATTTCAACTATTTTTACGACTCCTCGATCGATCTTCTAAGATCTGAAAATAAATGAAAAATATTTCAAATAAATGTCATGTTACGTTTGAGATAAATTAGTTGCTACAACTAATTAATGATTTTTGTGACTTTTAACATTTTCTTCCTATGATCATTAACGAATTTTGATTCCGAAAGCGACAGTTTAAACTTTAAAGAACATTAAGTGCGATGCATTCTAGAAACGCTCTGTAATCTCTCGTTTCCCTTTTGGATGTGAATCTTTGAAAAACTAACAGCGTATGAACGAAAGTATCTAATCGAAAATTGTGGAAATCTGCATATTGCGGGATGCATAAAAGTGAAAAGAAATCTCCGTAGCGTAAAGTAGTAAAAATATTTTCATTTCTTTTGCTATGAAATTAAAGGTTTGTTTCATGTTTTATCGCACTCAAGGGTCGGAACGATGTTATTCATTTTCCATTGGCATCGTGCCATGCTTTTGATGAAGAATCATCCAACATTTTGTCATTATGAAAGACCAGCATTTGTATGCATTTTATTATTTATTTGATGAAATAAACAGAAGAAATCTCTGCAAAATTGCTGAGAGGGTGTCTAGACTCGAAAGGTACAAAATCAAGGAAATTACTAATTAAACTTAAATATTCCAATCTACCTTAAACCTTAACATTTTGAATTTAATTCTTAAATCTAATTATTAATAAATCAGACAAGGACAATTTCATCTGGCCATCCTTCAAAGTAAAAAACAGAAAATTCATTTGCCTTGTCTGTCGTTTTACTTTTTAATGAAAACAAAAAGAAAAGTGAATTTTTTTATCGTTTACATCACGAAAAGTACAATTTTTTAGTCAATTTAATCTTGGTTGAAAATGTAAAAATTGAATAATCTTTCTCTTGAGTAATGCCTACGTAGCTTGGTACTTTAAGATAATTAAAATTTTCACTTTTTCTCTTGTTTCTTAAATGTCATAAGAAGAGAAGAAAAGTGATGAAAATGCAATTTAAGAGTTTCGCAAAAAGATCAAATAATCAATGAAAATTTTATTTTAAATGTCATCAAATCATTCTAAATATCATAAAATGATACTTAAGCGTCGTTTGAAACGCCGAAACTCTAATTAAGAGAGTCCAATATACAGTTCAAGCCACTCAACGCCTCCACACGCTCAACCAACCACTGATGAACAGGTGTAAATGCAATAAAGAAGTCGTCGCATGATGGCAAAATCTTGAAAATTGCAGTTGAAAGATAGCATTTAATTAAAAATGAAAATTTAATTGAAAGCTCACATGAATAAATCGGTCGGTCGTAGAATTGCTTCGTGTGCATTTTTTGAGTCTCGTGCGACGTTCTGCCTCAATTCATCCCTTCCGTAAGAGCCGAGCCACGCACAAGTGCTCCTTACGACATAATTAATTTATTGTATTGGATATTTATTGTTTCGTGTCGGCTTTGCCTTTAAAAATGTCGGCGCGGAACAAGAAATCTTAAAATTATTTTTACATCGCCTGTTTCCAACTTGTTACCAGCTCACTGTGACATTCATTTTGAAGATTAATGAGGTGAACCCACAAGTGAAATGAACAGGGATAAAAACATAAGTTTTCGACTTGTAACTGCATTGGAATTAATTTATTTGTTAATACAACTTTAATGAATATTTATTTATGAGAGGGAAGAGACTTCTTTGATCAGTGATCTTTGTGGTGATCCATAAATAGATCAATGACAATTTGTTTGAATATTTAGGGTTCCTTTAATTTATTATTCTCATAAGTTGCAACTTAATTTCATTTCTTTTTCTCATCCCTTGAAAATAAATTAATTAAATTAATGTTTTGAAAATCTTTCAAAAATCCTTCAATCAAAATGTCAAGAAACAATCTGCAAAAAAAATTAAAACTTAGTTAAAGATCATCAGGTTTTGAGCTTTGATTCATTTAATCTCGCAATGAAAGTGTAAATTGAATAGAAACATCCACACTTTGGAGATGCAAATAGACATTAATAAAGGTAAATTGAATGTGTTAAATGATTAGCACCAATTTACGACTTCTTTACTAGACTTAGTCAAGCACTTTGCGCGAAATAAACACAAATTTTACGACGCACATAAATTAAATTAGATGGAAATTTTTAATTTTTATTCTTCAAGCACTTGTTTGTTTGTTGTTGATGAAGGGAATTGAAAAACATTTAGTACGATCTGGTAAAGTTCGAAACCTTTTAAAACAAAAGATGACAAATAATTTTCGATGCTTTTAAAATATTTTCTTATTTAAGTTCAAATTGATAAAAAGTATTGTGCGATATTTGTATGTTAAATGTTTGAGAAGGTGAAGTTATGTGAAAATCACAAGTTAAAACTTCTTCCATCAACAGCATCCTTCAATAATACCTCAAAAATCATAAAAGATTTTCATAAACGAAATTTGAACAAATTAACAAATGAATTTCATTTATTTTCTTCTTGTTCAATCTTTTTTTTCTCCCCTTCCATTTTCATATGAATACATTTGTCTAATTAAAAAAATGAGAAAGAAATTTTCGTACACATGTTTGAACATCGTTTTGAATGTCTGACGATGAGTTTGCCTTTTACTAAAAAGTAATTTGTAAAACGACAAGGCTAACTCATTAATTTTTTCGCGAAAAAACTTTCAAATGTGAATGTTGCATGAGAAGAGAGTAGAGCAGAAACGAAGCTATGCTTGTTGAGGGAGGGGAAATGGGGAGCGAAGATGAATTGCAATACGAATGTCGGTTGAGATTGTGATGTTTCTGTTGATGTATTTATGCAGATTTTCATTGTAAAATTTTATGGGAAATTTCATAAAACTTCTTTTTTGCTTTTTAATTTTCAGTAACAGACAATCATGTTCAGCAGTATGGTGAAGTCAATCAATTAGGAGGAGTTTTCGTTAATGTAATTCGTAATAAAATCGCTTATAAATCTGTTGACTTAATGTTGTCATTATTCCAGGGCCGTCCATTGCCGAATGGTACACGAATGCGAATAGTTGAGTTGGCACGGTTGGGAATTCGACCGTGTGACATTTCCAGACAGTTGAGAGTCAGTCACGGCTGTGTGTCAAAGATCTTAGCAAGATACCATGAAACAGGTGAAATGTTTTTAACATTTAAATAGTTTATTTGTACTCATCTTCATTAAAAATTATAAAACCTCAAGGTTCAATTCTTCCGGGAGCGATTGGTGGATCGAAACCTCGAGTTACAACACCGAAGGTTGTTAATTACATTCGGGAACTTAAGATGAAAGATCCTGGTAAGATTATGCTTAAGATTAAATAATTAAGAGAATTTTCATTGGCATTAATTTCCAACAGGAATATTTGCATGGGAAATTCGTGATCGACTACTTGCCGACGGAGTTTGTGATAAGAATAATGTTCCTAGTGTCAGCTCCATTTCTAGAATCTTAAGAAATAAAGTCACCAATCATCATCATCATCACCATAGTTCAGCAATTTCCCATTCACACCCACACTTATACAATTCAATTTATCCAACTTATCCTTATGGAACGCCACCACCAATCAAAAGTGAAAATTCACCAAACACATCGTCGTCGTGCGGTAGTCCATCACCACCAAACAACGTCATTTCAAGGAACTCACATTGTCATCATTGGCCACCATTGTCACATGGCAGCATTACGCACTCAGTCAGTGATATTCTGAACTTCAACCAGAAATTCGTTCAACCACAAACGTCACCTCAATTAGCTACATCTCAGATGATTAATTCACATGATCCAGCACAGAATTCACAGAACTACAATTACTACATGTACTTTCAAAGCACTGGAATGCATGGCAATGGCATTTCAACGGGAGCAAACTTATAAACTTACTCAATTTTCACCTTTTTTCCTCGAATTTCTTCTCAATTTTCTTTTTTACTTTGTGATAAAATTTTCTAAGAATTTTGTTCTCGTATGTGCATGACATTTGAGAGGCGTTAAAGCTACTGATTGTGCCAGTTTCTCGATATTACTGTCGACTAACATGCCAACATGTAAATTTTTCTTAAGATTTTTGTTTCCTTCTGTTGATTTCATTTCATTATTTTGGAGCGAGTTTTTGTTTTTGTTTCTAGTCTTTGTGCCTTTTTTTCTCCTATTATTACGTGCCTCTATTTAGAATTGTTAAGTGAACGAAGAAAAAGAATTCGAAAAACAAAAAGACATTCTTATCAGACGCTGTTACGACGAATTTGTATGAAATTTAATTTGTAGATTTGTGGAAATTGACCAATAAAAATTTGATTCGTTCGTGACAAATCAAGCAGCAAAGCGTAAAGTCTCAAAAATTAATAATGTTAATACTTTTATTCTTGAAATTAGATTGTGGAATGGAAATAATACAAATGTATAAAAATATAGCAAAACACTTATGCACTAATGAAGAATTTAATAGTTGAACTAAATAAAATCGAATTGAATTAATAAAGAAAGTTTTTAATTATTTCTAAATTTAATAAATTTTTACAGTGGAAACCCATGGGCCATGATTAAGTATCTTGTTTCTTGCAATCTTAATTTAATGTCATTGGAAACATGATTAATTTTGTGAAACATTAAGCAGCTTAACTATATCCCACTTCCTTCTATGATGACAACTTTCTTAAGCAAAAAATGTCATCAAGGGAAGTTTAATACGAAAAACTGTAAATCTGCGAACTCTTCAAATGAAATGTGACACTTTTCTCTCTTTCTTTCGTTAAAAAGGTCAACATGCCACACACAGAAGCTAGTTTCAAATAAAGTATCGATGTCATTAAGTAGTTGCACATTTTTATGGGTAACTTTTCACACTGATAGTCTTGTGTCTAATCTTTTTTAAAATAAACCAGTTTACAATCAGAGAGAAATTTCCCAGCTACTTGAAATTTCATTTGATAATGTATCTACTTTAGATAGTGGAGAAAATCTCAATAAATTCATTATGATAAGTCTTGAACATTTTGTATTAATTTTTAATGGAGTGTTTAATTGATTAGTAACAACATTCGTTGATATCTCTATATTGAATCTTTCTCAACCAACCGAAAATAAGATACCCAATTCCAGCACCTAAGCAAATGGCAATAATCAACCAGTTGTTGCACAGCATAACAATCAGCATAAGGATATAAGAGATGAACACTTGTCCGAAATGAAGAAACGTTTGCACAGCATGTGGAACGTTCAGAATTTGTTCTCTTATTGTCAATTGTTTTGTTGTTACTTTTACTTCGCCGTTACTGTTTTTCTGAACTATTTGTTTCTTTCGTTCGCTTTCAATGAGTAACATTTCACGATAGTATTTCAATCCTTCATAGACAACAGCTAGCAAAAATATTCCAATGGCAGCGCCGATGAATTTGGCTGATAAATCAAGAAAAATATATTAATTTGACTTTTTTGACTAAGTTTCAATCTTTAAAATTCTTTAATGAATTATGGCTTCAAGTTTAGTTTATTTAACTATTCTTCTATCTACGTTTTTGCCTTAGAAACTGAATTGATATCCAAGCACAACAGAATTTAAAATCAGACAACATTTTTCGCAAAAGAAGAAGAACAAATCATTTGATAACTTACGAAGCGTATTTGCTTGCCACGACTTCACTAAAATGAATTCGCACGTTCCCCAGTGCAACTGTGGAAGAGTTTAAGAAAATCTTTGAAAATTAAATAAATTTTTACGAAGATAATGAAGAACTCAAGTTCGAGTTATTGTGGAAATTTACTTAATTATCTTTACTTACGCTCATATTCATTGTACAGACTGTACCATCAGCATCATCACCATGACCATCACCATGATCGTGGTCGCCGTGATCCATTATAAATTTTTGATTTTAGAAGTTTTAAAAATTAAGAAAGTGAAATTTCGTACGACTAGGCACTTTGAAGGTTTATCGAAAAATGTCTCCTTCACGAAGTTTTTATACCAAATAAGTTCTTGTCGTATTTATTTAAAGATATAAAGAAATTTGATAAGAAAAAGAAGGTTGTTGACAGAGCATTGATAAGCATGAAGATAAGTTTTGAATTGGGTTGTTTGAAAGTTACGACATGATCGATTTCTATACTTCATCAATCGATTACTTCAAGTTAATTTATGTTATAAATGATCACATTTTATATAAATAATCTTCGTCAATAAAAGATAATAATACATATATTGAATTAAATCATAAATAAATAATAGCAGCTCAGTTTTTGATAAGAGAATCTCTTTATTACTTAGCAATTGGCATTTTGTCGTCAACTTCAAGAGTGTTTGCGGACTAAAGTTTAATTATACTAATCTTGATTTCATTCGATACAATTGGTTTGACAGTTGGTGCCGTGTGCAGGAGAGTAGACTTAGCTGCTTGAGAGTGATAAGCCACTTGATAACAATTTTCTCAAATAAGCGTGACGGGTGCAAAAAATGACTCTCTGAAGAAATTTGAGAAGTATCCAAGAAAGGTGAAGCTTTTAAAAAAGCTTTCATAAGGGATTGCGTTAAAATAACATGAACAACAATTGTCTAAGATATTTTCAAGAAAGTTCAAATCAAACTCTTTACGATTCAATCAACTGCCCTTGATACTGTTAAGAAAATGGGAAATGCACTCCAAAAATAAGTTCTAACGATATCATACTTGAACTAATATTCAAACGCATTAAAAAATAATAAACTTTCCAAACTCTTTGTTTCTTAAATTGGTTGTAAAATCAAATAAAACAAAACAATTTCATTTTGTTTGAAGCATAAATAAATTTTTTAATAGTTTAAAGAAAAGAAAATACAAGCATAAGTATACGAGGAATCGTAAATCTTTACCACATTACACCAGTGCTTCTCGAATTTCTATGAGCACCGTTGCTACATAATTTTCTCACATATGTTTCAGGAAAACGAATAAATCATGGAGCAGAGTTTCTTATTTTTTTTTTCTTTAGAAGTTTGACTTTTGGATTATTGAAAGCAACACAAAAAGATTAAATGTTGTTTGAAGGAAACTCATGCGAAGGAAATTGTTAAAGAAAAGTAAATCAAGAGTTTGTTGGGTTGTCTTGTTGGGTTCTTAATTTTAAACACTTTCAGTGTCTTTCCATGCCTTGCAAGAAGTGTTTATTTACAAAACATTGATCGATTCACTTCTTCGGCAAGAAACTATGACATTCTACACAAAAAGGAATTCAGGAAGAAACATATTCTGCTTAATTAAGTTTTATGATCTGTTTTTGTTACAGTGCCCGAAAAAAAAAAATTCTCAAGAAATATTTTCTCCGTTTGTGAGTCGTGCGTCGGCATTTTCTGCTGTTTTTCGAGATTTCTTTTGAAATTGAACACCACTAATATGATGACATAGTGACGATGATATATTTTTGTCATAAAAAGTGAACAAACGTTAGCAAGCAAAAAGTTGAAAATGAATAGAAAGATGCAAATTGTGTTAAATATGCATCATGAATCTATAATTATCTGCATATCTGTGATTGTAAATTTGGTGAAGAAAATAAGATTTTATAAGGAAAATTATGAATGAGAGATGCAGATAATATCAATATTGCTGATAGTGTCATGGAATTTCGTTGAGATCATTTAACTATCTAATGTGTAGGCTGATCTTCATAGATTTGATTTTAATTTTTAAGAATAATTTGAGTGAGAAAATGTTTCAATTTCGTCCAAACAGTCATACTAAATTAATTAATTTGATAACTGAAATTTGATAAAGGAAACAATCAAGTCTAACAAAAGAATGAATGAGAAAAACATAAAACTACCTACCTACTTTGCCAAGAACAAATGCCTTCTATCATCCCCTTAAATTGTTTAAACGAAGTAAAGACATCGTTCGAGAATGTTTTAAAATTTTAAAATCTGTTACACTCGCACATTTGAAAAATATATTCAATACTCCTTTTTAATACTTCCAACGCGAGGCACTCGGTTTTTGTTTATGCCAAATTATTTGCTAATCAAATTATTGTTTTGAAAATGAAAGTTTAAGTTTAAGACCCACAAAAGCGAGACACTTCGGAACGTCTTCCGATTTTTAATTCCTTGAATTAATATTACCTATCTGTAAACAAAGAAATTGCACTGCATTGATTGTTTATTTTTGAATAACTTAATAAATCACCTTGAATAATTCTTGGGAGAGTAAAAACACTGTTCGAGAATTCTTCAAAAACTTGAAATCTAGATACCTAATTTAATAAAAATCAAAGTATGTTTAAAATTAAGTAATTTTATTATGTTGTGAGCGCTTAAATTATTATGTCTTAAAAGCTGTCATTGCATCTTCAAAAGTCGTTATAGTATGATCACAGCATTCTTCGAGGTCTTGCAGCCCACGTTTGAGCACATCAACCGCTCGCACATTTGATCGAGCTTGAATTCGGAAATGCATTTTATTCTCTTGTGGATGGGGAATAGTGTAACCGCAAAAATTCACATCAGGACTGAATAATAAATATATTTGGAAATTAAGAAACCATCCTTTAATGAAGAACTTAAATCAATAACTTACTAATTTCCAATGATATGTTTTAAAACATTCCCAATTGTGTGCCCTTCATCCTCAATTACAAACGTCCTCGAACTCTCTGTTGCATTATCACCTGCTAACTAAACAGAGATTTACTAATAAGTTTCATCAAGTCAAATAATATTCTTAATTATTATTTACTTCAGCTATCTTCGGCATTTTTATAATTCTTTCAAACACGAGTGTTATTGTTTTTAAAGTAAATTCCGGATTATATTTGCTTCCCAATCCCTTACAATAATCGTTATTTATCTAACCCTGAATAATGATACTCCGGAGTATACTAATGTCAACCATACTACACGAGAGAGTATACTTCATTTATATGCCTTTTCCAGGTTGCAAGCATTCGTCATTCCCTTGGATCAAACCTGTTTCTGAATCATTCTATCGAGATTGCAACACAAAAAGAAATTATTTTTTTCTGGCAAGTTCTACGCTAATTTTTCATTACCAAGTGTAAATTAATTAAATTTCATCAACTTCGAGTCCAATTGTTGTTGATTCACAGACGCTCATTGTCTTCTTAAATAAGAAAAAGTTGAAATTTGTGACAGAAATTCTTAAATTACCAAATTTTGTGTAATAATTCGTGATAAAAACCAAAACAATGCCCACCAGCGCCGTATATCAACCAACAACAGTCAGCTTTGAAAATTCAGGCGGTTCATTACTAGCACAAACAACGACATCGTCACGCTTAAAAACAGCTTTTCGCAAACCATGGATGCAAACACTTTTACTTCTAGCAGGACTTTTCTTTATAGCACTTGGAATTGTCCTTACAGTATCAGCATTCGCAGATTATGAAGACGTGATGGCTAATGAAGATATTGTTAAAGATTTACCACCTCATGAGATGGAATACGATATTTTCTTCGTATTTCTGGGTGTTTTCTTCACCATATTTGGATTTGTCTTGTTGGGTAAGTGTGGGAATGTCATAGTAACGATGTTTGTTTTACACAACTATTGCAATCTTTATAGGATTGTACATAAAAGTAGCTGACTGTTGGCGCCGGAACTGTATCGTGTGTCCTTGTTCATATGGTCGAAAGAAACAAGGACTTGCACGACAATTACAAGGGCAAAGTGGGGGTCAAATTATGGCATTGAATCCATCAACAGATCCATTGGTTTCTCACACTCAATACGCTCCTGTTTCCGAAATTCCTCGACTTGAGGATGAAGAAGAAAGAAAGACACTAATGTATGACAAAGACGGGTGAGTTTTGTTATTCAAATTAATTTTTTAATCTTCAATTTTAATATCCTTATAGTGGCAACACTGCTGAAGAATCTCAACTCCTTGGACCTGATCCACGAATCGTTCTAAGGCCTTCAACTCAAGTCGACGATGCTTAACTATTTTTGTATAAAAATCGCTTCAAGCATCTGATCAGAAAGTTTCGGAAGCGGTTTTATCGTAATTAGATCACATTAATGAGGTAAGGGGATTTCGAGAGTTGAGAAAGACAAGACACAATAATTTCATGTGGGGTGGAAAAATTTCTGTTTTTAAATCTCTTAGTGACATTCTTATGCACAAGATTACATGTTTTCGTACATAAAACGAAGATTTTTGACGACCTTTCTAGAGTAAAGTAAAAGAAAACATTCCAATTTAAAAGAAGAACATGACATGACTCAAATTTAAATGTAAGTTTATCACAGTTTACAAGCACTAAGGGAACTTATAAAAAAAATATATCACATTGACTCACCTTTAGGGAGCAAAACTAAATAAAAGGGGGAAGTAAAATAAAAGGATGATTAAGTGTGTGGGTGGTAGGAACAGCGTGGATAATTAAACGACTACCTAAATAGAATTTTTCTCTTTCCTTTCACATATGAAGCGCTTCGTAAAGCGATGAATAATTTAATGATTTGACAATGAAAACTGGAATTTTATTTATGAGTTGTGCAATATCGACAACTTTTGGATTCTCGCTTTTATTCAAACCATATGAAAGAGAAGCATAAGCCTTTCTTTTTCTGTCAAGGAAATCATTTTTTCAATGAATCTCATTTATTTCGATCATCATAAATACATAAAAATTATTTAAGTTTTCTTCTGATTCTGTGCTCAAAATGACCAGAAATATTCGGAATTTCTTCTTTTCAAATCTAAAGCAAATCAATAAAGAAAAGACAAATTTTTGGAGTGAAGTTGAAATCTCCCCCGCACAAAAACAATTAATTAAAACATTCTCTCTATCTCTTTGCATTATCGCATGAATAATATTAAAGAATAAATGCAGTTTGTACTTAATGATTAAAATGACACCGTTCGTAGAGTTAAAGAAGTAATGAGATAATTTGTAGAGTAGATTTGCATTTTATTACTTGCTTCGAAGAGAAGAAGAAAGTAAATTATTAATCGTCTGCAAATGACGCGCTTCTTCTTTGTGAAATCAATCATTTATGCGTCACAAATTTCGTGGACGGTTTTGAATCGCGAAAGGAAACATAAAAATAAACAAGTAAAAATATTTTTTTATAATCGACCTAAACCTAGCGGAAAGAAGAATGATATGAAAAAGCAACCATTTGAGTAGACGTTTCTTTACGAAGTGAGCAGGAAATGAAAGGCACCGAATAAGGCAGACGACACAAACTTCGAATGCGTGAGTGTCGAGTAAAGAAGAACATATAATTGCGATTCTTTCTCGTGCACTGACACGGGTTGGTGTAAAATATTTCATTCTCGCTTCTTAACTGCTTGCAAGTTTTCTTTTTATAAATTATCTTAATTTTATCATGATTGGGTTAAAAGCTTTTTGATTGATATTTTTTTTAATTCCTCACATTTTATTGATTTTATAATTTATTTATTAAATAAGTTTTATTTTGGGTTTTATGGATTAAACAGTTTTTTTTTTATGAAAGGAAGTGTAGCTAACAAGTTTCGCATATTAACCGGTAATTGAAAATATTTAATTCATAGAGTTGAGTTTTATTAGGAATTGTTCCGTCCGTAGCACGAATTATTTTAAAAAATGAAGAAAACTAAGCAATGTTAGTTTAATGAATTTCATTTTAGATATAAACCGTGATGATACTTCTTTACGAAGTTTAGAATTCAAAAGAATTTTTTGAAATTCATTGGTTTAGCATTGCTGATATTGATTTTAAATTAATTTAATTTTTTTAAAAGTTTGATTTGTGTCTCTCTGAAATGTTGTGAAAGAAAATGTTAAGCAAAACAAAATTCTTTTTGGAAAAGTAAAGAAATTTAAATGAAACAGTGACACGAAATAGGCAATAAATTTACCATAAAAAAAATGTAAATGGAATTGAAGCCACTTTTTACATCGATCCAGAAATTGCATTCCGTCGCTTAATGTAAAGTTAATGACATAATAATTATTATAACAATAAACAATTCCATCCTCATGCAATCTTAATTATCAGGACAAGTAAACAATCTACTTAATTCGATTGAATTCGGGTTTGAATTGAAAGGAAAGTAGATCATGATTCAAAGTTATAAATAATTGCGAGTGAATGACCGAAGGCTTTTGGTGTAAGAAATATTTTCATAATCAGTTTCATTTGAAATAATTTAATATGATTTATGTTGAAAAAGTTCCGATCAAAATATGCTAAAATTGATACTTCGCCAAAAGCCTCAAGTGATGTGAATCAATATCAATTTATATGAATTCAACTAACTCATTTAAGATTGAGAAATTTGTCTTCACTATTCGTCTAACGAGATCAAACATTAAATTAAAATTTCTGAACTTTTTGAAATCAATCTCGTCCTTGAGTGAACTTAAAATGTACTTTTAAAATCCGTTCCAAATAATGCAAACCATTCCAACTTTCAAAAAAAAAAAAAAGCATTTAATAGGCAAGTAAAGTGTAAGAAGTGTAATTTTTAGAAGACAGTTATGTAAGAATTTGTAATCAAAAGATGTTGGTTTTGAAACAATAATAAAATAAAGATGCTGAAAAGAAATTTTTAACGAGTTTGAAGATATTCTATTAAAATACATTTCAGGTGAACTTTAACGAAAATATCGAAGATGACCATCTTTATTCTAAATAAATTTGTTTAATTTATTAAAGTTTTGTTTTAAATTTTTTGTTATTAACAATTAATACGGGTTTCAGCTTGACAAGTTTTTCTATGTCTGAATGTCCTGCAAAAATCATAGAAAACATCGAATCTAACGGATTTTCAAATATCAACAATAAACCAAACAAAACTCCAAATTATAATTTTTATCAAAAGTAGACGGTAAAAAAATCTAGAATTTGAATCTATTACTTGTAAATTACGTCTATCTTTATAATCAATTCGATTTTTGGCAATTTATTTATTGTTAAATTATAAAAATGTCGAAAAGAGCAAGCGACAAACATCAGCAAGTCGAAACCGACATTGCAAATGATGATAATGATGATATGAACATATCTGAGGATGAAGAAGGTAAATTATCATTGTTAATAGTTGTAATCATACTAAAGCATTATGTAATTGTGAAATTATTATTGTTTTAGGTGGAACAAGAATTGGCGGCATTTACATTCCTCCTCCTGTAAAAGCTTATTGTTCTGCTGAAAGTAAAGGTCCAAGATTAATTATTCGCTTTATCAAAAACACCAATTTTAAAAGTTACGCAAATACAGTGCAAATTGGACCATTTCATCACGTAATAAAGAAAATAATTTTAAAATTTGGTTCACTTTTATCATAAATTAATAATTTGATTTTAGAGATTCTCAGCTGTTATTGGACCTAATGGCAGTGGTAAAAGCAACGTTATTGATTCAATGCTCTTTGTGTTTGGATATCGTGCTCAACAAATTCGTTCTAAAAAACTTTCCGTGCTCATTCATAACTCAATGCAATTTCCTAAT